CACACTCTTCCTCACCAAGTGCCTGAGCAGCAAACTTCTGTGCACTTATTGAAATCCCTTTTGAGAATTCTCAAAAGTGATTTCAATATCACACTCTTCCTCGCCAAGTGCTTCAGCTGCAAACTTCTGTTCACTTATCTTGAAGCTGCATCGCGTGCATCTGCGTTATCCTCTTGCAGCCCCACACTGCACTGACATAACTGGTGTGCACTTAAAAGGCCACGCCTGCCATGCATCCCTCCCTCTGCTCCACTTCTCCCACAGAACACGCTGCGCTTCCTCTGTGTGGGCTTCCTGCTCCTCTTCGGCCTCTTCTTCTTCCTTGAATATGGCATCACTCAGTCGGTGCACCCTCTCAACCTCGCCATCCTATTTATCGGTACGCTTCTTTTCGACTGCAACTATCTCTTTCTCATCTCTGAGTTGCTTCTTCTTCCTCGATATGGCATTACCCAATCGGTTCACCCGCTTAACCTCGCCATCCTAGTTATCAGTACGCCCTTTCTCCATACAAGGCAAAATAATCTCTCCTTTTCATCTCTATGCTCTTCTTTCTAGAAAATCCAGCATGAAACATGTCATTCCCTCAATCATATCGTCTTGTTTGTGGTATGGTTTTTACTAGTGACTTTCTTGAGTTCTTTACCCCCCTCATCCGGTGCAAATCTCCTTTTGTCCGTTTCTTGGCTGTGCAGGCATTATGAACTGCCTCTTCTCTATTTATGGTACGTCGCTGGAACCCAAATGTCTGCACATTGTTTCTTGGAGATTCTTCACAAAAATGGACAGAGAACAAGAGCACATACCTTCTGTGCATATGTATATGAACATGTGTACATGTACATATATGTGGCAGAGAGAACCTGATAATTATCAAACAAATTCTACAAATCCTAGAAATATTGAACCCTGGAATTCTTCAAATAAACGCAGCAGGCATAACAAACCGCCTTCCCGTGTCCGGGCAACCCAAACGTCCGCACACAGTGGTCCAGCAGTCACCATTATCATGCTAAAACGTTTCTGTCCCCATTCGTCCCCCCTTTCCTCGTGCACACCGCTCGCTTGCACTTCCTTGAATGCAAGACAGTGATTGCCTGCTCTTGATCCCACTCCCCACCCGCCGTTGTGAATCCCAATCCTTATTGAACCTCCCTCCTTTCCTTCAATGCCCCAAGCCTGCAAGCCCATGAACACATGCCCTTGTCTCCCCACCCTGTTTGCCATTGGCTCATCTATCCTCCTTCCGCTCCAATGCTCCAACCTTCTCCTGAGCCCTCTGCCCTTTCCCCCCATCCCCTGTACAGCATCAGACTCCTTTCCGAAGACATTCCCTGTCCCTCTTGCTGTCCTTCCTGCCCCTTCCCTTGCCCATTCCCCTGTCCCTTCCCCTGCCCATGCCCCTGTCCCTTCCCCTGCCCATTCCCCTGTTCCTTTCCCTGCCCATTCCCCTGTTCCTTTCCCTGCCCATTCCCCTGTTCCTTCCCCCTGCCCATTCCCCTGTTCCTTTCCCTGCCCATTCCCCTGTCCCTTCCCCTGCCCATTCCCCTGTCCCTTCCCCTGCCCATGCCCCTGTCCCTTCCCCTGCCCATTCCCCTGCTCCTTTTCCCTGCCCATTCCCCTGTTCCTTTCCCTGCCCATTCCCTTGTTCCTTTTCCCTGCCCATTCCCCTTTTCCTTTCCCTGCCCATTCCCCTGTTCCTTTCCCTCCCTCTCCCCCCGCGTGTTTGCCAAGGCGTGCCCCTGCCTTTTCCCTCACTCTCCCCCTTCTCTTCCCCCTCACCCATCCTTTGCTCTACCCCACCTCCATCAGACATAAACGATGATCTCATTTCTCGAAGAGTCAACTCCAGTGATGCTGCCAAGGTGTTTGCCAAGGCGTGCTCCTGCCCCATCCGTGTTTTCTTGTGCCCAATTCAACCCCCTCGCTCCTATTTATGCATCAGACATCTACGATGATCTAATATCGCGGAGAGTCAACTCCAGCGATGCTGAGGTGTTTGCCAAGACGTGCCCCTGCCCCTTCAATGGCGTATGCTGGGGGGTCATCTGGTGAGTGCCAGGTCACACAGAGTGAGGTGCCTTGTGCTGGTGTGTGCGGTAGGAGTGATGCTGAGGTTTTTGCCAAGACATGCCCGTGTCCCTTCAATGGAGTGTGCTGGGGGGTCATCTGGTAAGTGCCAGGTTATTTCGTAGGAATCTTGTGAAGCGCCTCAATCGTCATTCCCGAGGTGCTTGTGTCGTGGTAGGCGTGAGTGCTGGCGTCTGTACCACCTCTGGCCTGCCATGGGCGCTTCTTACCAGCCAGGAGATGAGGCTTCTGGATCGAATCAGAGACAGGAACGCAAAGAAGTGGACGTGGAAGGCGGGGTTTGCTGCCATCTGGACGCGTCAGAGAAGGGGCAGCATCAGGCCGGGGCAGCTACACTGAGGCGGGTTACCACCTAGCCTCCAAGCGCAGTTACGACTGTTCTTGTTTTGTACACTTGCCTATTCGGTGTATAATGCAATTACCAAAAAAAAAAGGAGTGAGTGAGTTTGTGAGGGTATATGAAGGGCGAGATCAGATTGTGAGGGCCTGTGAGGGGTCAGCTGTCAGAATCCCAGTCACTAACCACTGGGATAAAATGGCTTGTTTATATAGCGGGTGAGTGCGCCCATAACCCCCCAGGCCGACGTGCCTGTAACCCTTCCCTAGGATCATCGGGGATCCCCAGTGGACCTCTGACACCCCCCCGCACTGGGATGCCCGAAGTGCACACACCGGGAATCGAACCCGAGACCTTCGCTCTGATACCATGTCAGAATCCCAGTCACTAACCACTGGGATAAAAGGGCTTGTTTATATAGCGGGTGAGTGCGCCCATAACCCCCCAGGCCGACGTGCCTGTAACCCTTCCCTAGGATCATCGGGGATCCCCAATGGACCTCTGACATCAGCACATGTGTAGTGTGGGTGTGATATGATGAGAATGTCACTCCACGTGATAAGGAGAGACTGGTGAAAGTCGTAAAGCTATGTGCATTTCAGCTCCATTTGTAAGGACTTGTGTTATTTCTTCTCGTTCCCTTCCCGTGCATCTGTCCTGCAGGGGCGTCATATCATTGTTTCTAGCCGCTGCAGCAGTCTACCTGGGCCTCGTGATTCTTGCATGATCCTTGGGACATCTCAAATGAGGTACAGATGATTGCCAAACATTGTTGGGCGTTAAATGTCTTCGAGTTGTATGATTTATTCACCCATCTCGCTATGAAGTTAGTGGTTCAATATCTGAGCCGTGTAGAAAATAGCAGGGCTGCAGGGTCAATCAAAGCTGGCTGGTGACACATATCGTGAACTGACTGACGCACAGGCATTGGGATGGCACTAAGAAGGAAGGATGCGATCGTTTGCCTCAAGTTGGGCATTTCCTATCAACCTCATATGGCATCTCCTAATAACGCGTTTGGAATGCTTTTACGTATCTTATGTGAAAAATCCAGTTTCCCAATAGATTCTTCATATGCTGGAGTATCTTCACATGCCGTTATGTCGATATCCAGACAATATTAATTCGTCAAACACCTACCGTAGCTGTAAGATTTCGGTTATACCACTAATACCGCAATTAGTGTTTCTTCATTCATTTATATCAATTTCGTCTGGTGCGGGGCTGCTCACTCCGAGGCCCTTGGGAGTCGCGATCAAGGAAGCCATTAGTACGCTTCCACGTGGACAGTAAGTCACACTTGGAGGTTCCTGCCACTGAAATTAGGCGGGCATTTATCTTGGCGGTAACACTCATCGGGCTCGATTGCACGCAAGGTAAGCCACGTGTCTAAATCGTAACAAAAGTATCTTCTGGTTGCCTACATGGTAACCAACATTGCACATCTGGTCACCATTTTTTCCAGACTGGTAATGAACAGTGCATTCCGATTTCCAAACTGGTAACTCGTCGAAACAACCGTGATGTACACCGTACGTACCTTGTATGACTCGGCAAAACGAAATATGGTATGGATATTTGCTTCGCATTGTATTGACCTAATTTCACGTTTATAACTTGTACATTTGTAAATGATAGGAAAACGACAAATCCTTTTTACACGTTGATTAGGGATTACGAAACTAAAATAGATTATGAACTATCCTAACGATAATTTCACGTTTATAATCTATTTTAGTTTCGTAATCCCTAATCAACGTGTAAAAAGGATTTATCGTTTTCCTATCATTTACAAATGTACAAGTTATAAACGTGAAATTAGGTCATAAATGTTACTATGCGAAGCAAATATCCATACCATATTTCGTTTTGCCGAGTCATACAAGGTGCGTACGGTGTACATCACGGTTGTTTCGAGGAGTTACCAGTTTGGAAATCGGAATGCACTGTTCATTACCAGTCTGGAAAAAATAGTGACCAGATGTGCAATGTTGGTTACCATGTAGGCAACCAGAAGATACTTTTGTTACAATTTAGACACGTGGCTTACCTTGCGTGCAATCGAGCCCGATGATTGTTACCGCCGAGATAAATGCCCAAATTGGGCCGTCGGGACGAACCATTGAGCTTGCCGCTTGGTTTGGCTCTGATTGCGCATTACATTCATAGTTTTTTTAGTCCGTTCCAATACGGTGAAAGACGTAAAGAATTCGGTTCCCTGCTTTGCCGCACCCAAACACGGAAAACCAGAACAAACCGAACAGGAAACTCCGCTTGTGGTAAACGGAAGTGTTCTGGTGGGATGATTGATAGCAGTCGTCGTCCCTCTCGCTGCGCACGGGTGTTGTGCTACGCACGGCAGAATCCAGTCCAGTACAAGCTGAGCGCGGTCCTGGATCCTTGAGTTGGCCGACGAATTCGCCACTCCTTCGCTTCGCTTCGTAAGCTTTATTTCTGTATCATCGCGACTTGTTGTGAAACGACGGTTGCTCGATCCGGTCTACGTTCGGCAAAAGTCGTTACCACTACAAACCGTCTGTGCACGTGTCGCTCATTGAACTATCGCGGTCCAATGGCCGCGTCGATTTCCCTCCTGGCGCAAATGCCGGCCGCCGTCCGCATTGCGGCCGGCTCGTTGCCTTCACCGCTTTCAGCGAGCCCTTCTTCCGCCCAACAACTCCGCGCTATTCCCGCGGATTCCTCTCTCCGCGCAATTGCCACCGCCCCCTTCCGCTCTGCCTTCCCTGCCTCTTCCCGCCGCTTGAGCTTCACAATCCGCGCTGCTTCCGCTGACGCCGACGTGTCGTCCGAGTCAGCAGCTGCTGAAACCACGTCAGCAGCATCAGCCTCCGCCGCCACCACCACTGCCGTCGCGGAGGCCCCGGCGGATGCTGCGGCGGCAGCCGCAACAGCCGCCGCAGAATCGACAGCGGCAGCGACCGATGCAGAGCCAATAGTAGACGAAGCGCCTAAGAAGAAGCGGCGCGCGCCGCCGAAGAAATTAAAGCGCGAGGAGAAGGCGGTGGCGACGTGGGGGTGGGACGGGCGGTCCGCGCGCGATCTCGACTCGCTGGAGCGATGGCTGCGCGCCAAGGGGCTTCCGCAGCAGAAGGTGGCGCTGCGGCTGGTGCGCGAAGGCGGGCGCGGGCTTGTGGCGACGGAAAATATCGGCAAGGGGGAGGGCCTCTTGAACATTCCGGAAAAGCTGCTTATAACGGGAGAAACGGTGCGTTGAGTGGTGCTTATAGCGAGAGAAACGGGGAGGTTAGTAAAACACGAAAAAACGGGAGACTGGTGAGTTTATGCAAGGGGTAGATAACTAGTAGGAGGTGTTTGGTGGGAGCAATGGTTGCGCGCCAAGGGGCTGCCGCAGCAGAAGGTGGCGCTGCGGCTGGTGCGCGAGGGCGGGCGCGGGCTCGTGGCGACGGAAAATATTGGGAAAGGGGAGGGCATTTTGAACATCCCCGAGAAGCTGCTTATAACGGGAGAAACGGTGCGTTGATTTATAACTGGGAACGGCGAGTGACTAAGACGGGAGCAATGATCGGGTGGTTGTAACAACGGGAGAGGCGGTAAGGTGCGTACATGTGATCACCAGAGACCACCAGAGAGAGAATGATCTCCTGAATGCCATGTCAGCAGCAAAGCAACTGAGAGGGTACAGTGCTGCAGCATTTGTTGCAACGGGAGAGACGGTAGGGTGCTTATAGTCACTTCACCCCCGAGAGACTGGTGACCTCCGAGCAACCAAGGAGGTACGGGTATGGCGTTTTTAGTGCATGAATGACCGGCTTCTTTCTCAGCACAGTGCCAGTTCAGATCAGATGTACTCCCAACACCTAATTAGCAGAACCTTTCTTCGTTTCCATCTTGGACCTGCATCAAATAAATTCTCTGAAGAAACTATATCGAGTGTCCGGCTTTCCTCTTTTCAGAGTGTCGGAAGGAGTCTAACATCTCATTAGCGCTCTTCTTCCCTTGTCATCCTCCGCTCCCCCTTTCTCCTTTGCACCCACCCCTTCTCCCCCCTCCCCAATCCTCCCTCCTCCCCATCCTTCCCCCCCCCCTCCCTCCTTCCCCCTCATCCCCTCTCGCCCCTCCTTCCCCCGCCCCATTCGCAGGTGTACAGCTGCCCCCGCGTGGGCGCACTACTCAAGGCGGCCAACGTGCCGGAAAGCAGCAGCTGACTAGAACTAGTCTTCCCTTCCCCTGAACCTCACGAATTCCCTTCCCCCCTGTGCAGGTGTACAGGCGTGGGCGCACTGCTCAAGGCGGCCAACGTGCCGGTCAGCAACAGCTGACTAGCGCTTGTCTTCCCCTTCCCCTCCCCCTCCCTTTTCTCCCAATTTCCCCGCCCCCTTTTCAGGTGTACAGCTGTCCCCGTGTGGGCGCACTGCTCAAGGCGGCGAACGTGCCCACCTTTCCCCCCGTGACCCGTCCCTTTCCCCCTCCCCCTCCCCTTTCGCCTCCCCCTATTCAGGTGTACAGCTGCCCGCGCGTGGGCGCGCTACTCAAGGCGGCCAGCGTGCGGGACTGGCCGGCATTGGCTGTCTACTTGCTGAGCGAGGCCGACCCCCCTCCTCTCCCTTCCCCCCCCCCCCCCCCCCCCCCCCCCCCCCCCTTCCTTTTCAGGTGTACTGCTGCCCCCGCGTGGGCTCCCTGCTCAAGGCGGCCAACGTGTCCCCTTGCTCCCCTTCTCCATTCCTGTGCCCTCTTTTCAGGTGTACAGCTGCCCGCGTGTGGGCGCGTTACTCAAGGCGGCGAACGTGCGGGACTGGCCGGCATTGGCTGTCTTCTTGCTGAGCGAGGCCGGCCCCCCTCCTCTCCCTTTTCGCCCCATTTCCCCGCCCCCTTTTCAGGTGTACAGCTGCCCCCGCGTGGGCGCACTGCTCAAGGGGGCTAATGTGCCGGAGTGGCCGGCATTGGCTGTCTACTTGCTGAGCGAGGCTGGCAGAGGGGCGGCGTCTGAGTGGAGTGGTTACATCGAGACCCTGCCCCGTGCTCCGCCCTGCATCCTCCAGTGGTGAGCTGAGCAAAGAAGGAGTGGAGAGGAGAAGCAGTAGCTACGAGTGGAATGGGTACATGGAGACCCTGCCTCGTGCTCCGCCCTGCATCCTGCAGTGGTGAGCTGGGGGGTGGAAGAGGGAGGTCGAGGAGAGAGAGGGGTGAGGTAACAGGGACTGGCAGAGGGGCGGCGTCGGAGTGGGTACATCGAGACCCTGCCTCGTGCGCCCCCATGCATCCTGCAATGGTGAGTGCAGTGGGGAGAGAAGGGGGATGAGGAGAGAGGGGGGACTGAGGAAAAAGGGACTGGCAGGGGGGCGGCGTTGGAGTGGAGTGGGTACATGGAGACCCTGCCTCGTGCTCCGCCCTGCATCCTCCAGTGGTGAGCTTGGGGGGGTGAGGATGCGGGAGGACGAGGAGAGATAGGGGGTGAGGAAACAGGGACTGGCAGGGGGGCGGCATCTGAGTGGCGTGGAGGGTACGTTGTGACCCTGCTTCTTGCTCCGCCTTGCATCCTCCACTGGTGAGCTGAGGGGTTGGAAGAAAGAGGACGAGGAGAGATAGGGGGTGAGGGAGCTGGGACTGGCAGGGGGTGGTGTGTGAGTGGCGTGGGGGGTACGTTGAGACCCTGCCGCTTGCTTCGCCTTGCATCCTCCAGTGGTGAAGCGGGTTCAGGGTTTAGGGGAGAGCGATAAAAATTGGGAAGTTAAGGAATGGGGGGAAGATGATGGGGAGGAGGATGGGGAACGGGGGGAAGATGATGGGGCAGGGAACAGAGGGCAAGAGAGAGAGAGGGGCAGAGGGGCAGTGAGGCAGAAGGGTGGCCCTTCTGCCTTTTCGCTCTCAACCGAGTAGCCTGTGTTTCTCACCTCTCTATCTCTCTGTCTTCCTGCCTCTCAGGTCCATTGACGAGGTGGATGTGCTTCTAAAGGGCGGCCCTTCTGCCTTTCTTACTCGATATACCCCTTCTCTGTCTCTCCGCGTCGTTGCCTCTCAGGTCTATTGACGAGGTGGATGTGCTTCTAAAGGGGTCTCCTGTCAGACAGCGCGCGATTGAAGCCATTGCTGACGTCACAAACACGTAAGAGGGCCATTGCTGATGTCATCACCAACGCGCACGAGGCAGGGATTACACAGGGTTCTGCAAGGTGAGGTGAGGTGCTTTTGTGATCTCTCAAACACGAGGCACTTTCGATTGCAATGGTGATGGTGCCATGCCACTGAAACGTAGAGGGCTGACAGTGAGAGAGTTGTGTGATGGGTCATTTGGATGGCCCGTATTCAGTTTAACTGGTAAACAAATGGGCTAAATATCGCTTTTTATGAAAAGGTTGTTTGCTAAAGGAGGAACAGAGAGGAGAAACTGGAGAATCAGAGAGTAACAAACAATTTCTTGGCACTTTGGTATTGATCACGCAACAAGCTTGCTTCCTTCTGTCTTTGCTCTCCTTCTCCTCTTCCCTCCCTCACCCAACCCCCTCGTCTGCCACCGCTCTCCACCGCTCTGTGTGCTGCAGGTTCACAGAGCTTGAGGCTGCCCTCTTCTCTAAGCACAGAGACGTCTTTCCAGAGAAGGTGCGCAATCTGGGGCGAGTGAGAGATCGGGCGCTGCCGAGGGGTGGACTGGTGGGGGGAGGGGAGGGGAGGGACAAGTGCTGCCGGGTGCAATTGGGTACGCAGGGTGCGGGGCGGGTGGGGGCGGGAGCAGGGCGGGAGCAGGGCGGGAGCAGGGCGAGTGCGGGGCGGGGGAGTGATGAGAAGGACAGGGAAGCGCCAGCTGCTCACATTTCCGCTTTCCTTTGTTTGCCCTCTGCCTTCCACTCCTCATCCCCACCCCTGTCACTCCTCGTCCCCACCTTCCCACTCCTCAATCCCCCCCATCCACTCCTTATTCCCCCTCTCAGTCCTTGTTCTCCCCCTCCCACCCATTCCCTGTTCGTCCCCTCACACTTCTCATTCTCCCCTCCCCACTCCTCAATTCCCCCCTCCCCCTTCTCGTTTCCCCCCTCCCACTCATCATCCCCCCCCTCCCCCTCCTCGTGTAATGCCCCCTTAATTTGCACATTTCCTCCTCTTCCGCTGTTCATCTTTGCAGTTTTGTTGTCGGCCCTCTGCCTCATCACTTCCCCCCTCTCCATCCCCCCCCTCTCCATCCCCCCCCTCCCACTCCTCCCCTCTCCCGCTCCTCATCCCCCCCACCCACTCCTCGCTTAATCCCCCTTCTTTTGCGAATTTCCTCCTCTTCCACTGTTCATCGTCGCAGTTCTCTTACCCTTTCCAACCCCTCCCACCTCTTCACTCGCATCCAGCTCTTTTCCACGTTCCCCTCCCTCCACCTCTTCACTCGCATCCAGCTCTTTTCCACGTTTTCCTCCCTCCACCTCTTCACTCGCATCCAGCTCTTTTCCACGTTCCCCTCCCTCCACCTCTTCACTCGCATCCAGCTCTTTTCCACGTTTTCCTCCCTCCACCTCTTCACTCGCATCCAGCTCTTTTCCACGTTCCCCTCCCTCCACCTCTTCACTCGCATCCAGCTCTTTTCCACGTTCCCCTCCCTCCACCTCTTCACTCTCATCCAGCTCTTTTCCACGTTCCCCTCCCTCCACCTCTTCACTCGCATCCAGCTCTTTTCCACGTTCCCCTCCCTCCACCTCTTCACTCGCATCCAGCTCTTTTCCACGTTCCCCTCCCTCCACCTCTTCACTCTCATCCAGCTCTTTTCCACGTTCCCCTCCCTCCACCTCTTCACTCGCATCCAGCTCTTTTCCACGTTTTCCTCCCTCCACCTCTTCACTCTCATCCAGCTCTTTTCCACGTTCCCCTCCCTCCACCTCTTCACTCGCATCCAGCTCTTTTCCACGTTCCCCTCCCTCCACCTCTTCACTCTCATCCAGCTCTTTTCCACGTTCCCCTCCCTCCACCTCTTCACTCGCATCCAGCTCTTTTCCACGTTCCCCTCCCTCCACCTCTTCACTCGCATCCAGCTCTTTTCCACGTTCCCCTCCCTCCACCTCTTCACTCTCATCCCACTCACACTCCTGCCCTAATCTCCCTTCTCTCTCCACCTCTTCACACTCATCCAACTCACACTCCTATCCTTTTCCCCCTCCCCTCATCTCCCCTCCTCTTCAGCTTTTCACGCTCAACAACTTCAAGTGGGCCTTCGCTGTGCTCTTCTCCCGCCTGGTCAGCAGCACCTCCCTGCACCACAATGCACCCCAATGCACCTCCATGCACCTCCCTGCACCTGCATTCATTTCCTTGCCTTCTTTCCTCACGAAGACATCTATTTTATTTTCTTCTTTTCTTCTCTTCTCTTCTATCATTCTCTCCTCTCTTCCTCGCCTTCTATAGAACACTTCCACTTTCCAGGGTGTTTTACTCTCTATTCTTCTGTCCCGCTCTTGGTTTCTGTTAGCTAGATGTCTGTCCACCTTCTTCCTCTTCCCCTCTCCCCCTCCTCCCCCTTCCCTCACTTATCCCCCCTTCCTCACTCGCCCCTTCTCTCTCACTCAACCCCCCTTTTCTCGTTCAGCCCCGCTCCCTCACTCAACCCCTCTCCCTTCCCCCCCCCCTTTCCTCTCCCCTCCTCTCTCTCACCCCCTCCCCTCCCCTTTTCCCCCCTTTTCCCTCTCCCCCTTTTTCCCCTTTCCCTCCCTTTCCCGTCTGACCCCCGTCCCCCCCCCTCCCACTCTCCCCCACCTCCCCTCTCCCCCCTCCTCCCCTCGCCCCCCTCCTATCCTCTCCCCCCTCTCCCCCCCTCTCACTCCGCCTCCCCTCTCCTCCCCATGGCCGCCCCATTAGGTCCGCCTACCGTCGCGCAACAACCGTCTGGCGTTGGTGCCGTGGGGGGATATGCTCAACCATCGCTGCGAGGTGAGGGGGGGGGGAGAGGAGAGGGAAGAGGGAGAGGAGAGAGGGTGGTGGGGATGGGAGTGCTGCAGCTGGTTGCAACAACCGGCTAGCCTTGGTGCCGTGGGGTGATATGCTGAACCTGTGAGGTGAGGAGGAGGAAGAAGAGGAGAGTTGGGAGCCGGAGGAATGAGAAGAGGGAGGGGAAGAGGGGCGTGGTGGGGGTGGGCATGATGGAGTTGCAACAACCGCCTGGCGCTGGTGCTGTGGGGGGATATGCTCAACCACAGATGCGAGGTGAGCGGTGGAGGGGGTGGGGCGAGGGTTGGGTGCGGTGGTGGGCGGTGGGGATGCTAGAGCTGCTTGCAACAACCGCCTGGCGCTGGTGCCGTGGGGAGACATGCTCAACCACCGCTGCGAGGTGAGTGGTGGAGGGGGTGGGGAGAGGGTTGGGTGGTGTGGTGGGTCGGATGGTGGTGCCACAGCCCATCTCGCAACAATCGCCTGGCGCTGGTGCCGTGGGGAGACATGCTCAACCACAGATGCGAGGTGGGGACGGGAGAAGAGGGTAAGGGGAGGGGAGAGGGCGGTGGGTGTGGGCGGTGGGTGTGGGCGGTGGGTGTGGGCGGTGGCGATGCTACAGCTGGTCTGGTCGCAACAACCAACTGGCGCTGGTGCCGCGGTGGGAGCATGCTTAACCACCGATGCGAGGTGAGGGGAAGGGATGAGGTGGGGGTGGTGCTTCAGCCAGTTGTGCAGGGAGGAGGTGGTGGGGGAGAGGGAGGGGGATGGTGGGGTTGGTGTGGGTGTCACAACCGGTGGGGGGAAGGGTTGTTTGGATGAAGGGTTGCAGCGGAAGGGCTGCTGGTACCCACCCACACGCAGTGAAGGGCTGCTGGTACCCACCCACACGCAGTGAAGGGCTGCTGGTACCCACCCACACGCAGTGAAGGGCTGCTGGTACCCACCCACACGCAGTGAAGGGCTGCTGGTACCCACCCACACGCAGTGAAGGGCTGCTGGTACCCACCCACACGCAGTGAAGGGCTGCTGGTACCCACCCACACGCAGTGAAGGGCTGCTACTGAAGTGAGCTGGCCGGACGGAGTGCATCTCGACCCTCTCCCTCCTTGCGACTCATCTGCTCAGACACATTGATGTGGACACGTGGAAGGGCAACGTTGACAAGGCCAGGGGGGCTCCTACGTAACTGCCTCAGCTAGGATGCCATCTTGCGCTTTGCCTCTGTCTTCTTCTCTCTCCTCTCTCCCCCCCACACGCAGATCGAGTCATGCATCGACGTGGACACGTGGAAGGGCAGCATCGACAAGGCCAGGGCCCTGATATACGTGCCAAAGATAGGGTCCCTCACTTTCTCTCAAGCGGCCTCTTACTGTCTGTCACTGTCCTCCACTCTCTCCTCTCTCCCCCCCACACGCAGATCGAGTCATGCATCGACGTGGACACGTGGAAGGGGAGTGTGGTTTTCACCACCGATCGTGCCTTTGCCAAGGGCAAGGAGGTGAGGCACTCTTTAAATTAGGCCGAGGAGGTGAGGCACTCTTCAAATTAGGCCGAGGAGGTGAGAGCGAGGAGGTGACGGCAAGAAGGTGAGGTGTAGCTAGTCAAGAGGGCGTGGACACGTGGAAGGGCAACGTTGTTTCCACCACCAACCGTGCATTCTCCCAGGGCAAGGAGATGAGGCGGAGGTTAGGAGTGCTGCTTGGTTGAGGGGGTGAGGTGAGGCAAGGAGGTGATGCACATGGAAGGGCAGTGTCGTTTTCACCACCGACCGTGCCTTTGCCAAGGGCAAGGAGGTGAGGGCAACCCTTCCCCATTAGCTTGCCCAATTCCCTCCCCACCTGTCCGCCCCCCTCACAGGTAGTTGTTGCGTGCGGTCTCAATTCCGTCCAGCAGAGAGTTGCTCCGTGCTTAGTGGGTGGGGCTCGCCACGAGCAACCCGAGCGAGTCACGCCGCTGTCTCTTTCTTTGTTTACACACCACACCATACCCTCGCAGGTGTTTGTTTCGTGCGGTCCCAAGTCTGTCCAACAGAGAGTTGCTCCGTGCTTAGGGGGTGAAGCTCGCCACGAGCAACCCCAGCGAGTCACTCCGTTTGTCCCTATGACTACCACACCACACCATACCCTCGCTGCCTCACATGTGTTTGTCTCGTACGGTCCCAAGTCCAATGGAGAGCTTCTCCTGGCCTACGGAGTAGTGCCCACCACGCGCAACCCCAGCGACTCCGTCCCGCTGCTGCTCATTCACCTCTCTCTCGTGACCCTTCTGTTTCTCAGGTGTTTGTCTCATATGGTCCCAAGTCCAACGGAGAGCTCCTCCTGGCCTACGGAGTGGTGCCTGCCACGCGCAACCCCAGCGACTCCGTCCCGCTGCTGCTCGCGCTCTCGCCAGACGACCCGCTCCTGCCTGTGAAAGAGGCAGCGCTGCAAGCTAATGGGCTGACGTGGTACGAACCCTTTCCTGCTTTTCAGCATCATGGCTTTCAGCAATGGTACGTCGACCACACCTGCTGCTCGCGCTCTCGCCAGACGACCCCCCGCTTCCCTCTGCACCTCCCATTATTCCCTTTGCACCCCTCCCTATCCCAAATGCACCCCTCCCTATCGCCTATGCCCCCCCCCAACTTCGGACCATTTCCGCCCTTGTTTTTCCTCCCTACCCCCCCCTCCTTTCCCGCTCTTTCCCAATTATTCCCTCCCGACCACTGCCTGCCAGCCTGCTCTCCTTCCCGGTCCGCACAGGCGGTTGGCCGCGCACCCGCCCGCGTGGGCGGCTGGCCCCTCTCTGCTCAGTTTCGCTGCATGCGCACTCCCTTCGTCCTCCCTACTGCCCACCTCCTGCATTTTCTTCTTCTCTTTACCCTCCCCTCCCTCCCTCTGCTTGCCAGCCCTCTCTCCTTCCCCACCCGCAGGGATGGCTGGCCCTCTCCTCCGCTCGCCTTCACAGCGTGTCCCCTACTTTCCTCTCCCCATCACCCCAGCTTTCGTCCTTTGAACCCCTGCCTTTTCCCTACCCCTTTACCCATCTCCCCTGTCTCCCTACCAGCCCCCTCTCCTTCCCTGTCCGCATGGACGGCTGGCCCTCTCAGCTGCTCGCCTTTGCTCGCCTTGTGGCAGCCGGACCATCAGTGTCAGAGGAGCAGATTAGGGAGGTGAGATCTTCGTGTTGACTCTCATTGACTCTTGTTGAATCTGATCGTCTCATCTGCTCGCCTCGTGGCATCAGAGCCATCCATGTCTGAGGAGCAGATCAGAGAGGTGAGCCTCAATGCCCTCGTTGACTCGCATTGACTCCAGTTGACTCGTGCACACTCATTGACTCTCATAAACTCCCATTGACTTGTGTTGACTCCCATAGACTTTTGTTGAATCCCATTGACTTCCATCATCTCAGCCAAACCCACCCTTTTCGTTTACCATCAGTTTGGCCAATCTGCAACCTTATTCACTCACTACCCCTCCTCCCCCTCATCCCGTGCTGCAATGACTGCACCACTGCCATCATTCCAATGATGTCTCCCCTTCTTCCTCACACACATGCCTCTTCCAATGAGGTCTTTCAATACGGTCTGCACGCAGCACTCTTCCTTGACTAGAAGACTTCCAGCCTTATGTGACTTTTGAGCCGCCTCAAAAGTCACTTTAAAAGTCAGTAGTTTTGAGTCGACTCAAAAGCCAATGCATGCAGCCCTCTTCCTTTATTATAAAACTTCCAGCCTTCACATCTCCCCCATTCTCCCCTGCCCCCTTCCCCCCTCCTTTCCACCACTCCAGCTAGCAGCAGCCACGTCATTCTCCGGTTCGCCATCCTCCCCCTCGGCACCTGCTAAGCGAGAGAAGCCGTCTCTCCCCTTCACCCCCTCGTTCTCTCTCGAGCACGAGCTGGAGGCCAGGGAGGTCATCCTCGCTGCCTGCCGCCTGGCCCTTGCAGGCTACTCCACTACGCTACAGGTACCACCTCCTGCTTTACGTATAATGAGTATGGTTGTAGCAAGTATGGTTTTGCGTACTGCCATTCACCCCCTCCTTTCTCCCTCGAGCACGAGCTGGAGGCCAGGGAGGTCATTCTCGCTGCCTGCCGCCTGGCACTAGCTGGATGCTCCACCACTCTGCAGGTCAGATGTTTACATGTGGTTGTGGCGAGTATGACTGTACCCAGTAATGATGTCGGATGATGGCAAGCAGAGAGTGAATGCATGTTCGCTGCTGATGCCACTCCACTCATTCAACCCCATTGCCTTCCTCCCATCAGCTGTACTGCAGGAGGATGAAGCCCTATTGAAGGGCAACAGCGATGACTATCTGGAGGAGGATGGCGAGCAGTGGGTGAATGCTCGTTCGCTCACGCCCCTGCCTTGTGACCCCCAATGGCCCCTCTCCCATTCATTGCATGCAGGAGGACAACAGCGCGTGATGGCTGCTGCTGCTCCCTCACTCCCTCTTCCTCTCATCCCTCACCCTCACCACCCCTCTTTCCTGCTACAGGAGGATGAAGCCCTATTGGAGGGCAACAGCGACGACTATCTGGAGGGTGATGGCGAGCAGAGGGTGCGGCTATGATGGCTGCTGCTGCTCCCTCACTCCCTGTTGCAATTGTCCAACCCGCTGGCCTTGCTCCTGTATGCTGTTCTACAGGAGGATGAGGCATTGCTGGAGGGCAACAGTGACGACTATCTGGAGGACGATGGCGAGCAGCGAGTGCGCGTGATGGCTGCTGCTGCGCTTAGGAGCAGCGAGAGGCGCATTCTGCTGCGAACAGACTTTGTGAGTCCCCGCTATCTCGTCTCCCCCTCTCTGTCTTTCTATCCCCCTCTTCCTCTCGTTCGCTCGCACTCTCGTTCCTTCTTGGTTGCTGCTGCTCTGCGGAGCAGCGAGAGGCACATTCTGCTGCGAACAGACTTTGCGAGTTTGCGCTCTCCGTTTCGTTCTTCCTCTCGCACTCACATATGCACTCCCGGCGATGCTCCATCGCGCATCAAGAGCACGTGCATCAAGCACACCCTCCCCCTTCCCTTCCCTTTGCTTCCCTCCTTGCCCCTCATGCCTCCCCTTGGGCCTCCCCTTGGGCCTCCCTTGTCCTGTGCCTCCCACCAGGTGCTTCGCTCCGAGCTGAGGGACATGCAACGCCCGGCAAGGCCAAGTTGGACAGGTGGCAAGTGCAGCAGGGGCACACCCTGCTGCACTATTATGAAACCTCCCCTTCCTGCCGTTTGTGTTCATCCCACCAGGTGCTCCGCTCCGAGCTGAGGGACATGCGCAACGCGCAGCAGGCCAAGGCGGGAGGCAAGCAGAAGATTGATTTGGGCAACAACTTTGGTGGGGAGAGCGCGGGCTTTATCGGCAAGATTCTGAGGAGAATATCGCGTGTGGAGTAGTCCAGACTCCAGAGGCATGGGAACCGCTTATGAGTAAAAGGCATTCACGTGGAGGACGCGATAATGGGAAGGTAAAAATCCAACAGTCGTATGTCAAACCGTATTGAGTGATGACTTACCCATGGAGGTTAGGATAGGTTACACATTGGATTATAGCGCAACAACCAGGGCTCTGGCTAGGATTTAGCCCCATCTGAAACCTAACTCTCTAAAAAAATTTCGTCTGAGAAAAATATGAGCAACTCTTGGCAGTCTGTAAACTCAGACGAGCCAAAACTCCCAGTCTGGGAATTCAGACGAACACACCAGAGCACTGTCTGTTCTGTACTGTATGTATACCATACGTTTTACTCTTGTTTATAATAATATACCACTTCTTGTGCCACACAACATACTATTAGAATCATTACTGAGGGAGGAAGGAGGGAAGAAATCCCTAAGCTGAGTCACTAGAATCACTGCTGCTGCTGCTGCTGCTGCTGCTGCTGCTGCTTTCTACAGTGTCCTCTTCATCGAAGGGGTTGTACAACAAGGGAGATGTGGCCTTGGTCTTCTTGCCCCTGCTCTGCCATCCACCTTCCTCAGCTTCAACCCTGGCGCTCTCCTTTGCTGCTGCTGCCACAGCTGCTGCCGCCTCCGCTGCTGCTGCTGATGCTGCTTACGCTTTTGCCATGACCTTTTCCTTCTTGGAGCGCTTAACCGGCCTTGAGCCTGCAGCCATCACCACCTCCTTGGCCGGTCTGCGTTTCTTGCTGCAGCGCCAGAGCCTAATCAACTCGGGAAAATCCAGGTCGTACTTCAGCAGGGACACCGTCATCAGCCCTGACAGCTTCGTGTCGCAGAGATTGCCACGAAGCCAGCTCTTTATGATATTCTGGCGCGAGTTTCCGCGCTCGCACTCGACCGTCGACAGAGGAAGAACGGCCACAGCGATCCAGTGGTTCAAAAGGTTTCGATATGCGTGCGTCCAGTCGGGTGTGGAGAGCATCTGCTTCAGTCCCTCTTGAAACTCAAGGTCGTTGTGGTGCGTGGAGAGGATGGTGTCAAAACAGTAGCTAGAACAAGGAGCCATAGCTAGGGTTTACCTAGCTAGGCAAGAGAGAATTAGGCAAAAGAGGGTTTGACTAGAAAGAAGGGAGGTACAAATAGCAAGCCCTAAAAGGGTTTACTCACTATTGAGTACCCCACTACAGACTAGACAAGCATTATATTCTGACACACCCCCATAGTCAAAGTGGGGTATAATCAGCACGGCAAGCAGTCATAGTGCAAGTTCACAAGGACAAGCAAAGCTAGAGGCATTCACAAAGGGCAAGTGAGGAGGAGGAGGCGAGACTGTAAGAGGAGAGGAGATAGGAGGCGACGGCTGAAGCTGCAGACACACGGGCAACAGGAGTCACACTGGCACAGCGGCTACCGGAACAGCGCCCCGGACTACTGGAGTAACTGGCTCTGCGGCTAACCCTGAGCGGCAGGAGCAACGGACCCACGGGCGACTGGCGCAGCTGGCTACGACTGGGCTACCAGGACAGCGCCCCGGACTACAGGTGCTGCTGACGACAAGACGGCAGCCTCCGCTCAACCTCCCCCGACCGTCCCACACCCCTCTCACACACCCCCTGCTGAAACCCTAGCTCCACTCCCACGGCACCCCCCTTAAACCCTAAACCCTCGGCTCCCACACACCCACCCCCTTCTGCGGCAGCTGCAGCAGTGGGGGTCGGAGGAGGAGGAGGAGCTGCAGGTTACCCACACCGGTCACCCCCATGCCCGCCACCCCCAAACCCTAACGCAAGTAGGAGCGCGGGAAGCAGCAGGGGCGGTTCACGAAGGGAAATGGAGGAGGCGGTGGGGTCTCCTGGGCTCCACGAAGGAGCAGGGCGCGGACCCCTCGAGGGCGCCACGGCGGGTGACGGGAGGGGGGCCGCGCACGGGCCCCCGAGGGCGGCTCGACGGGCGACGGGAGGGGCCGCGCGCGGGCCCCCAAGGCGCCGCGACGAGGCGACGGGAGGGGGCGGCGCGCGGGCCCCCAAGGCGCCGCGACGAGGCGACGGGAGGGGGCGGCGCGCGGGCCCCCAAGGTGCCGCGACGAGGCGACGGGAGGGGGGACGCGCGGGCCCCTAGGGCGCCGCTACGGGCGACGGGAGAGGCCGCCACGACGGGCGACGAAACCGCCGTGCGCGTCCGCGGCGTACGGCGGGCAGAACGCCGCGCGCTCGTGCGCGACCAGCAGAACAGTAGCAGCGGAAGCAGTAGGCGGGCCCACAGGACAGGAGTGTAAATGCTCTGAATCCATGTCAAAACAGTAGCTAGAACAAGGAGCCATAGCTAGGGTTTACCTAGCTAGGCAAGAGAGAATTAGGCAAAAGAGGGTTTGACTAGAAAGAAGGGAGGTACAAATAGCAAGCCCTAAAAGGGTTTACTCACTATTGAGTACCCCACTACAGACTGGACAAGCATTATATTCTGACAGATGGTGGTGAAGTTCTTCAGCTCACGCTGCGCTTTCGCCCAGTTGACTCCTGAGGTGGGGTAGAGAAGGGGTTATAGCAGGGCTTAAATTCCTGAGAAGCTTCACACGAACACGCAACGGAGAAAATATCTAGGAACATATATAAAACATGACAACAATCAACAATTTTCCTGAGTATTACAATCCCCTCACCTGGCAAAGTGTCTGGCATGCTTGGCTTCCGTTTGAACATGTCCCGCGACATCTGGAGCCATGCGAGGCACTTCCTGTGACGCTTGTTGGGCGACCGTGGGTAATGTGACTGCTTGAAGAGCTTGCTGCCGCTCAGGCTCTTGAGGTCCTTGTAGCGCCAGTCCATGTCAGAATGTGATGTTTGTGTAGCCTGCAGTGGGGTACTCTATAGCGAGTACAACCCGAATTAGGGTTTGCTATATGTACTCAACTGCCTGCTAGTGAAAACCCTCTTTCCTGTTTCTAGTTTTTGCCTATGATTTTGACATGCTATCAGAGCGGTTACGCTCCTGGCCTGTGGGCCCACCGTTAGCTTCCGCTGCTGTCCTGTCTGTCGCGCGCCCCGTGGCGCGCGACGTTTTTTCTTCCCGCCACGCGCTCGGGGTGCATGGCGGTTTTCTGCTCGCCGCGCACCCTGATCGCGCGGCGGTTTTCTGCCCGCCGTGCGCCCCGAGGCGCGCGGCAGTTTCCTGCCCCGTCGACCCGCGCGTCGCCCCCCGTCGCCCGTCGCGGCGCCCCCGGGGACCCGCGCGTCGCCCCCCGTCGCCCGACACGGCCCGCGCGACCTGCGCCAGGCCCGCGCGCGGCCCGTACGGGCTGCGCCAGGCCCGCGCGCGGCCCGGGCAGCCCGCGCGCGGTTCGTCCGGCCTGCGCCAGGCCCGTGCGCCGCCCGTCCAGTCTGCCCCGGTCCCGCACACCGTCCCCCGAGCTTCTGACCGCGCCCCACCCCCGCTGCTGCCCGCGCTCCTGTGTTAGGGTTTGGGGGTGGAGAGTATGGGGGTGCCGTGTGTGTGAGCCGTCCCCTGCTCCTCCTCCTCCTCCTCCGTCTCCCACTGCTGCAGCTGCCGCTGAGGGGGGTGGATGTGTTGGAGCCGTCGGAGTGGTATGAGGGGGGGTGGCGTGTGAGCGGTGCTAGAGGTTCAACAGGGAGTGTGTGAAAGGGGTGTGGGACAGCTGGAGGAAGTTGAGTGGAGGCAGTCGTCTTGTCGTCCGCAGCGCCTGAAGTCCAGAGAGCCACGACCCCCTGTGGCCTGAGTAGTCCGGGGCTCTGCGCCTGGTAGCCACAGTGTGAGCACTCCTGGTAGTCCAGAGAGCCACGACCCCCTGTGGCCTGAGTAGTCCGGGGCTCTGCGCCCGGTAGCCACAGTGTGAGCACTCCTGGGAGCACAGCGAGCCAGCTGCGCCTGTCGCCGTGTAGTCCGGGTTTAGCCTGGTAGCGACAGTGCTGCGCACTCTTGTTGCCCGTGTGTCTGCAGCTTCAGCCGTCGCCTCCCATCTTCTCGCCCCCGCAGTTTCTCCTCCTCCTCACTTGCCCTCTATGACTGCCTCTAGGTTTGCTTGTATTTGTGAACCTATTGCTCTGCCTGCTTGCTGTGCTGATTATACCCCACTTTGACTATGGGGGTGTGTCAGAATATGATGTTTGCCTTGCCTGCAGTGGGGTACTCTATAGCGAGTACAACCCGAATTAGGGTTTGCTATATGTACTCAACTGCCTGCTAGTGAAAACCCTCTTTCCTGTTTCTAGTTTTCGCCTATGATTTCGACAGTCCATGCTCTCAAGAAGCGCGGTGACGAAGTCTCGAGCAAGCTTGAGGCACGCTGTCAGGTCCCCAGCGCTGGTTTGGCCTACGATCTTGTCTTCAGGTAGAATGTACTTGTGGGTGACGGGCGTCCCTTCTGCATTAGTTCCATCCACCGAAACCTATCGCATCCGCATGCGCCTTCAGAAACTTGTGAAGTGTCTCGCTGCCATGCCCGAAGTTGTCATCGTCGCACAGGTAGCGACTCCTGAGTGCAATCTTCGTGTTCTCGGTCACTTGCTGCACGTGTGTGACATCGACCTGTCAAGGAAACAAAGAAGGCAGGTTAACATACGCACAGACGACTGTCATAACACACATGCGAACACCAAGACTAGAAACTTACATTCCGCTTTTGAAATTTGAGGTTCAACATGTTGAGCTCCTTCAGTACATCATTCAAGAGAAACAGCAGGAACTGAAACTTGAACGAAATGACGATCTTGTACGCCTTGGTATCGTACTCATACAAGAAGATGATCGGGGCTGGCAGGGACTCCACAAGCCGGGCTATCGCCACACCGCGCGATAGCCAGCGCACGCTGTGGATTCCTTGTAGTTCGAGATTCGTCTCGCAAAGAACCTCCTGCAGCTCCTTGAATCGGCCGTGTTGGTTGCTCGAACGCCCAGGTCTAACGCAAACGAGCGGACGACCCTGTCAACGAGTTGCATGTCTGGGACTGCAGTGGCTGCATCCTTTGCGGAGAGGGCTTTCCTGCACTTCACAGAATAACACGTATTAGTAAGGACGTTCGGGCAGGTTAGAAATACACAACAGAAAGTAATGTTACTTGTGTGCAATGCAATGGCATGAGACGAGGTGTGGAATCTTGGTTCGCAGGCGAGCGACGAGACCGTTCTTGTCGCCAGTCATCACGCTAGCACCGTCTGTGCTGATGCCGGATTTGCGATACAGATCCACCCCAGAGGATTCCAGGTGGGTGAGTAGAATCACTATGAGCGACCCGGCATCGCCTTTGTCCACCGTCAGATGCGCGAAGAATTCCGTGGTGACCGCGCCATCCCGCATGAACGTGAGGTAAACGATCATGTGTTTACCCTATCGCCTGTCGGTACTTTCATCCAGTTGAATGCCGAGGAAGGGTGAGGTGCGTATGTGCTCCATCTGCTTCGCCCCTAGGTAAGTGACAAGAGTCTCAACCATCTGGGCAAAGCCGTACCTGCGCAAAACACGTGTAAAAACAAGGGGTATTAGTCCCGTCAAAGCATAAAGGAGTGCAGCAAGACACATGGCGGGGTGGAAGCGAGACACTTACTCAGAGTAGTAAGTCCCGTTCTCCCGCAAAGGCATGTCAGGTGTCCCCTGCTCTGCCATGAATTGCACAAGGGACACAAACATGACAATCGGGGCGTCAGACTTCGCGAATCAAGCGTCTCGCCGCTTCGTCGGTCGTCTCGTATTGTTCCAGGGTCTTTTGCGCGGTCAACTTCGCGTCACGCCCCTCCTTCTGGTTGACCGCGGCCTCGTGCTTGATGGAGTGTTGATGCTTCCGCATCGTCTGCTTCTGGATGTCGTAACCGCCGCTCCCATCCCGACCGTACTTGGAGTTCGGGTCTGCATACGCCAGGCATGTGGTGCACTTCATCACGGGGCGGGCGTACTCGTCCTCGCCAATAATCAGCCATGGGAAGTGCCGCTGCCACTGCTCTTCGCATTTGAGCTGCAGCTCTTCCACGGTCAGCACCTTGGGAAGCTCTGCACCTTTCTTTGTCGGAGTGGCTTAGGTTTCTCGGGTGTCACCGTCGCAGGCGTTGCTGGTAGCGGAGCTGGCCGAGCGAAGGGTAGCTTGCTCTGCATGTACTTCGCTTTGCCAGGCCTTTTAGCAGGAAGGACAGGGTTAGCGTTCCTCGTGCCTTTGGAGGACGAGGATACATTGGTCTCCACTGCTGGAGTTCCACGGCTGGGGAGAACGTGAACACGGTTGGGGAATTCTCGTTGAGGCGACCACGGTTCGTGGTCCCACTCTTGTGCCAGGGCGGCTGGCGCGGCGGCTTCATTACGCTCTACTACGACTTCCGACGAAACTGGTGCGGGGAGGGGCAGTTTACTAGCGCCTCGCGTCAGGAAATCAAGAGCATTCAGACGAGGGGCTTCACCCGGAGCGGTTGTAGGAGAATGGCCATATGGGCCAGGGTCTGATGCCATGACCGTCTGGTTGCGAGGAGTGCAGCAGAAATGCAATGCAAAGAGTTGCGTGCAGGAAGAAGCCTAGGAAAAGGCAGACTGAAGAATGGGACCGGAGCAGCAACAGGAGAGGAGAGCCCTACAACGAGTGGGGTGGGGGGATGCCATCCATCTTACTAAAGTGGCTCTACTCTGATGGCTTTGGACGAGTGGGGTGGGGGGTTGCCATCCATCTATATGTAGTATAGGGTTAATTGCATTTCAAGCTTTAGTATTTTGAGAGACAATGAGAATTTTAATTTAACTTTACATTTTGTTTGTATAAAAATATTAATTACAATACACATATTTTAGTGTATGGCCCACAAGATTTCTGAATGTCCTTGTGTACATTCGCAATCGATTCGCGAATGACCATTGCATCACCGTGATTTAGATGTGCATGGGATTTTATGATTGGACAGCGAGTAAATTTGCTCGAGCACCATTTTACGAGAATTTATAATCGCAAGTTGGGTGTTTATGACACGTGGATTGTGATACTTTATATAAGTTTGTGAACAATGATCGTTGTTAATATCGCAAAGCAATAAGCTTTGTATTGCCCGACGTCTCTTGCGCTAATAACCTACATTTGCGACAACCCCAGGCATATTATGCGGTGCCCTACATGTTCTAGTATAACGGGATGACCTAATAACTTGTTTCTTAAATAGCCTTGAGATCCATGAGCACTTACGAAAATCGATGGAGTAACATTGTTCAAACCTAAGGACCTCGACATGCGAACAACTCGTAGGTGCGACTGGACTGTAGTGACACTACACGTCAGACAGTTCTTGTGGATGAAAGAATTGAATCGAAACCCCTTGTTCGCGATCAGACTGGAAAGCCAAAATGCACCTGCAATTTCGAGATTCCTTCGAAACCAGCGTTGAAATAACGTGCACGCGCATGTCGGTCAATTTAGTTGCGGGAGGTTCGGTCGCCTTACCTGCGATGCGAGTTTGGTCGATAGAACTGATGTAGGAGCGCGATTGATCGCGTTGCGTAGTTTTTGCCGATTTGAGTCTGACGCTCTGGATGTGTCAGATTTCGAGGATGTGTCAGATGTCGAGTTTGACGCGCTGAAGGTGTCAGATTATGGAGAAATTCCTGATACTATAAACTGACGCGCAGAGTCGACATGTAGTTTACAATAGTGCAACGTACAGCAATGGGGATCCTTAAAAGATAACTCCCAGGCAGGTGGTCCTCCCACTTTTATGGTATCTACAATGCACTATGACACGGTCTTCCCGTATCCTACCTAAACATATGCCAGGTTATCACAAAACGATTCATAACGATATTATCTACAATAACGACACTCGCAGCTACTTAACCATGTTATGTAGCTGACTCGCAGGTGCTGTTTTTCAAGAACGGACTTTCTTTCAGCTTCTCTCCTAACCTCCCCCTCCCCCTCCCTCTCCCCCCACCCAACCCCCTCCCTCCCACAACCCCTCTCCCTCCACCATGCCCTGTCCCTCCCTCCTCGCGTCCCCCGGAAGCCACCATCCGTGCCCGTCCCCCCCACACAGGCAGCCCACCTCCCCCACTTGCACCCACACCAGTGCCCCCTCCACCCGCCCCTTCCCTGTCTTCACTGTCCGACTCGCCTGCTCGCCTGGCCGTTGACACGGAAGCACCAGGATCCGCCCCCCCAGCCCTGCTGCCTCCATGTCCCCCCCCCACCCCATTGTACACGTTATACACTGATGCATTACTGGCAGTGGACTCGCGCATACTAGTCTGCCCCCCTTCTCGAGTGCTGTCCCCATCTGTAAGCCTCTGTCCTCCTTGCCCACTCTCATCCCCATGCCCCCTGTCACCATCTTGCTGGACCCGGTTTGAGTTCTCTGTCTTCCTTTCCACCTCCCTCCTCTCCACTTCCCTCTCCTCCTCCCTCCTCTCCTCCTCCCTTCTCTCCCTCTCCCACCGCTCCTCCCTCTCCTCTGAGTCGCGCACGCGCCGCAGCTTCACCGTGCGCAGCGCTTCAGGGCTCACGCCATAGCTCAGCCGCAGGGGCGCCTGAGGCCGGATCATCCTTGCCACCTCCGGCACCACCTCCTGCCCCCCCCGCCCGCCCCTCCGCACCCCCCTCCCCCTGCCTCGCGCCATCATGATTATCCTTCCCCTCCCCTCCGCCCTGCGTGCTGCTGACAGCACTCTCCCCACACCCCCTTCTGCCATCTCCTGTGACTCATCATCTTGAAACCCATCCCCGTTATCATCCATACCCCCATCCGCATACCCATCCGCATCCCCATTCAAATCCCTGTCCCAATCCTCATCTCCATCCTCCTCCTCTTCCTCCTCCTCCCCCTCCTCCCCATCCTCCTCCCCTTTCCCTCCCCATCCTCATCAACCTCCTGGCTGCTGCCACTAGGAGCTCGCCTGCTAAAAAACCCCCTCTCCTCGTTCCACCTCCCCACTCCGCTGCTCTCCCTCCCTCCACCACTCCTCCCCCCTTCCCCTTCGCCCCTCTCCTCTCCACCCCTCTCCCTCTCCTCATGGCCCCACCCCTGCATCGCTCCCTTGCCCCACACACCTGCTGTGCCCACAGAGGGTGACTGTAACGAGGGGGACGGCCGCCCAGGTCTGCTGATGGACGGTGAGAGTGATACTAATGGGGAGTTGGAGACTTCGATGGAAGGCAGCGAGCTACCAGAGGGGAGGAACGGAGAAGCGGAGGGGGAGGGTGCAGGGATGGATGAAGGGGAGGAAGGGGAGGAGGGGGAGGAGGGAGAAGGGATGGATGTCTGTTCCTTGGAGCCAGAGAGTGACAGTAACGGGGAGTTGGAGACTTCAATGGAAGGGAGCGAACTACCAGAGGGGAGGAACGGCGAGGCGGAGGGGGAGGGGCAAAGGAGGGGTGAGGAAGGGTGGGGGGAAGAGGGGGAGGAGGGGGAGGAGGGCGGGGAAGGGTTGGAGGGAGAAGGGATGGATGTCTGTCCCTTGGAGTCAGAGAGAGAGGCAGACACCTGGATGTCATAGCTCGTCCACGAGCCACTAGGATTCTGACACGTGGCACTAAATGCTGCTCCTGACGCCACCCCACCCAGGCCACCCTCCTTCTGCCACGTCCCTTCCTTCCCTGCTCCACCGGACCAAGAGCTTTCCGAGCCAGAGTTGTCACAGCTACGGCGTGCCGAGCCTCCCGTGGGAGGCTGCAGAGACTTGTGATGTTCGCCTGCTGCCTCCTCATCTGCATCCTCCCCCTCGGCTGCTGTGGGCACTGCTTTCGGAACTGCTGCAACGGTCCGTGCAACAGGTGGTGAGTCAGCTTCACCATGCCTTGCACCTGCCCTGCCATGCGTCACACCCAGCCCTTTCCCAAGCGCATCAAAAGCAGGTGATCGGCCAACCAAGGCAGACACTCTCGTTGCTGCTTCCATCTCCTTCCCAATTGCAGCAGCAGACCCAGCGGCAGCAGCAGCAGCAGGCGCTGTAGTAAAACCAGCTGCAGCATCAATTGCAGCAGCAGCAGCAGCACTTGCTGCATGACCAATCTCTTTCCCTCCCCCATACCTATCAGGCAGACCCCTGCCCGCCCTGCCCATCCTCCCACCCCCAACGGGCGAGGGCGAGGTGGCACTGGTGTCATCTGCCTCATCGCCCCACACCGGCATTCTCCTCAGCGGACTCTCGTCCCTCTCCTCCTCGCCTCTCCTCTCCTCCTCGCCTCTCCTCTCCTCCTCCCCTTCTTCACCAACCTCCTTTTCCTTCTCTTCCTCCTCCCATTTGCCCTCTCTCCCCCAATGCCTCCCTCCCCAGTCGCCCTCGCCTTTCTTCCTCTCCACCTTCCCCTCAGTCTCCAGTGCCCTGCTCGTCTCCATAATCCGCCGTTCAATCTCCTCCCTTACAGCACTCAAACCCCCTCCCTCTGATGCAGACAGGGAGCCAGAGAGGGCGGACGGGGAGAGCAGCGAGGTGGAGAGAGGGGAGAGTGACTGTATGGGGGTGGGCTCTATCGAGGTGGTGAAGGAAGAGGAGAACGAGTCTGAAAGCGAGTCTGCCTGGCCGTACCGATGGGGTGGGTGTGAAGGAGCAGCAGCACTTGAGTAAGCAGCAGCAGATGACCCTTTACCACTAGAATCAGCAGCAGCGGAATCAACAGCAGCAGCGGTAGCAGCAGCAGATGCAGCAGCAGACGCAGCAGCAGACGAACCTCCCCTGTGTGAAACCTTACCGTGTGACGACCCTTTACCATTCGAGTATGCCCTTTCATTCGCCAAGTCATCGCCACACGAACCACCCTCCGACCCTGAAAAGGACCCTGCCTGCCCGTTAACCTGCCTGTTCGGCTGCCCGCTGGAGCCCGACGCAGCGCGAGCATCTGAGTGGGCACCTGAGAAAGCACCTGAGTGCGTCTGGGAGCGAGATCTGGACTTGGTCCACGATCGCAGCCGCAGGCCCGACCTGGACGGGCCGTGAGAGTAGGAGTTGGACTGAGAGGGAGACGGGGTAACTGACAATGAGGACTCAGATATTGGGGTTGTTTCTGATATTGTCTCAATGTCCATGCGGTCTTCGTCTGCTATAGCCCGCAAAGCCTGATTGGGACGGCTTGACTCCTGATTCGGGCAGCTTGGATTTTGATTCGGTAGGCTTGAATTCTGATTTGGGCGGCTGGAGTCCAGATCCGGGCGGCTTGAGTCTGGATTTGGGCGGCTTGAGTAGGGTGCTGCTTTGCCCGCCTCCCACCTTATGTCCACTCCTCCAGCTGCTGTCGCTCTCCTCTCCACCCCCTTCTCTCCTCCTCTCTCCACACTTTTTTCTCCTCCCCTCTCCACCCCTCTCCCTGCTTCCCACTCTGTCCCTCTGATGCCTCCCTCACCCGCTCCCAGTCCAACGAATGTCCCCCCAGCATGCATCACTGCATGCCGCACCACCACTGGTGCTCCTGCCTGTGCTGCAGCCACTCTCCCATATCCACGTGCCAACCCTGCTGCTGCCGCCATGCCACCTCTCCCTGCTGCGTCGCTCCCATATAGGCTTGCCGCTGCTGCACCACCTGCCTTGGCTCTTTCGGCTGCTGCTGCTGCTTTCGCTGCTGCAGGTACCTTTGATGCTGCAACTGCCGCGTTTACTGAAGCTGCTGCTATAGTCGATGGTGCCGGCTTCACTGCTGCTACAGCTGCTGCCTGCTGCCGCCCTGCACTCATCTCTCTCTTCGCCCGCAGCCAGTTCCTCATAAACCCTCCCCTCCCCCGTCCCCCTCCTCCCCCCATTCCCCTAGCCTCTCCCCCACTCTGCCCTGCATCCACCTTCCCCACCTCCCCATCTCCTCCCTGCCCTCCTTTTCCTCCCCCTCTCCCAAACGAGCCACCCCGATTTGGCGGCAGTGCCAGCGCTGCTGTCTCCGGCCCCTCCTTCCGCCCACCCACCTCCTTCAGCGTCCCCTGTTCATACCCCGTCCCTGCTGCCTCTGAGCTGGATGCTGACGTGTCACAGCTTGATTGGGGCGAGGAGAGGGAGGAGAGAGGCGCAGCGGAGGAGAGAGGGGAGAGCGAGGAGGCGGGAGTGAGGGAGGCGAGGGGGGTGATGCTGCGAGAGAGTGTGGACGGCTGTTTGTCATTAGAGAGGGTGTTCGAGAGCGCAGAAGGAGAGGTGGAGGGCGAGGAGAGGGAGGGAGGGGTAGACACGGACGAGAGGGGTGTGAGAGTCTGTGACATGGAACCATTTTGCTGTGAGAGAGAGCCTTCCATTTGCGATAGAGACCCGTCAAGTTGTGATAGAGAACCCTCCATATCCACATTACTCCCTCCTCCCTTCCCACTCCCCTGCTCACTCCCTTTCCTTCCCTCCCCACCCTCCACCCTTCTCTCATCCCCGGGGGAAGCACCCCAGAAGCTTCCCATGATGGACCCAGCAGCGCCAGCCACCATGCCCCATATGCCCGGCTGTAGCGGCTGTAGAGCGGGGTCGCCCCCTGCTGCAGCAGCCATGGCCGCTACAGCCGCGTCCACTGTGAGGGCAGAGGGGTAGGAAGGGACGGCAGCTGTGGCACTGGACGCCTGGGAGGAGGCTGACAGGGAGTGAGAGGAGGAGGCGGAGGGTCGGGCAGGTTTGGGTGTATGCTGAGAGTTCAGCTGTGGAGTGGCCTTGGCAGCACCAGAACTGGCAGCACCAGAACCAGCAGCAGCAGTGGTTTTACCGGCCTTACCAACAGCATAAACCCCTCCTGCCCCATCGGCAGCAGCAGAAGCAGCACCAGCAGAAGAGGGGAACGCTCCTGGAGTCACCTCGGAAGCTTCCCTAGAAGCTTCAGTGTCTGTGCCGTACGCGGCGTACCTGCTGGACCACGCATAACCGTTCTTCACCTCTCTGGTCTGCGGGGTGTAGGGCCGGCGGGGGTCGGGAGAGGCGCTCTGAGGCGCTTCAGGGAGGGACGGCAGGCGGTGCGGTTTTCTAGGAGCAGGAGTGTGCGAGGGGGAAGGAGAGAGGGATAGAGAGGGGTTGGTATCGGAATTGGCATCGAGGGATTTGTGAGGGAGAGGAGTGGTCGGGGTGTGGGAGGTGGGGGTGTGGGAGGTGGGGGTGAGAGCGGTGGGGGTGAGAGCGGTGGGGGTGAGAGCGGTGGGGCTACGATCAGGGCGCACGCTGCAACTGGCCACAACAGACCGCCCTAGGCCGCCCCCCCCCCTCCTGCTGCTGCTGCTGCTCTTGCTGCTGCTGCTGCTGCTGCTGCTGCTGCTGCTGCAGCAGCAGCACCACCAGCACCACCAGCAGCAGCACCACCAGCAGCAGCAGCAGGCTTGGCATGTGGAGCAGCGCCGTGTGTTTGGTGGCCCTCAGGTTTTTGAACGGACTTGACACTGTCAACGCGGAAACCCATACTATCCACTCGCACCCCGTCTATCCCCGACCATGCCGCTGACCCCATCCCCTCCTCGCCCTCCCCTCCTCCCCCCTACTTCCATCCACCCCCCTGCCTTTCCCCCACTTCCCTCCTCCCCGCCCCTTCATCTCTTTGATCCACTCCGGCCCACCACCAGACCCCACACTAGAAGCCCAGCTCATGTTCGTTTCCGTGTCTACAACCACTTCTACCCCTCTCTCCTGCCCCTCTTGGCCCTCCTTTCCCTCCCTCACTCCTTCATACTCCCCTTCCCCTGCCTCCGTGTTTCCTCTCTCTTTCCCATTCCTCCTCTCCTCCCTTCCACTCCTGCTCCTGTTGCCTTCTCGCCCCCCTTCCCTCTCACCTCCTCGCCCATCCTTAACTCTCCTCTCTCTCTCCCTTCGCTCCTCCCTCTCCCCCGGCCCACCCCCCCCTCCCACCTCCTGCATCCGCCTGCTTCTCAAATACTCCACTCTCGCCCTCAGCCCCCCAAAAGGATCCTCCCCTTCTCCTCTCCCATCCCCTCCCCATCCCCGGCCTCTCCTCCCCCCCACGCCCTCCATCAGCGCAGCAGCAGCGCCAGCAGAGCGCTCACTGGAGGAGAGGGAGGAGAGGGAGGACCAGGAATCGCTATGCAGTGACGTGGACGGCCCAGCAGACGCGGTCGCCACGCCAATGCTCGCCCCTGCTGCAGCAGCCAGGGCGCCGCTGTGGTTGCCGCAGAGCACAGGCAGCGGGGAGAGGCGGCGAGGCGAGAGCGGGCTTGGAGAACCACTGCCAGTAGCACCGCCAGGAGCAGCAGAGGGAGAGACAGGAATCGCAACAGCGTTAGCAGCAGCAGCAGCCATTCCTGCAACATCCACCGCTCCATTCCTTCCCCAGTTCTCCTTCTCCTGCTGCCCCTTTCGCCCCCACCTGCTCGGAGTGAGCAGGTGCATTCCCCCCCTCGCCTTTGCATGTCCCGTGTGGGCCTTATCATGGTTCTGACCCCTAGTAGTGCCAGCGCCAGTGACAGCAGCAGCAGCTGCAGTGACAACGCCAACACCCAGCGCAGCCGCTGCAGCACCTGCTCCCAGCACCGCACCCAACACCCCAGCACCGCCCCCACCTGCCGTGCCAGCACCAGCAGGAACGGCAGCAGCAGCAGCAGTACTAGCACCTTCCCTTGACGCCCCTTCCCCTCCTCTTCCCCCCCTTCCCCCGCCCCCGCCCCCTTCCCCCCCCGCCCCTTCTGTGGCCCACGAGGGCGCCAGCATGGGCAGCAGCTGCATGAGCGCACGGGGGGAGTTCCGCCACTCCTCCCCCTCGTCCGTCCCATATCCCCTCTCCTCCCTTCCCCCGGACTCTCCTCTCCCCCTCCCCCTAGAGGTTCCATCCCCCGTACCTACCTGCCCTGCTGAATCCAACCGAGAGGCCCCAGACTGGTTCAGTTTAGGCTCCGAACCCGTCACCCGGCTCGGAGAACCATACTCGTTATAAGCAGGGCCGTTAGAAGCTTTCCTGCCACCACTGCCACCACCGCCACCGCCACTACCGCCGCCGCCACCGCTAATGTTGTCACTGCTGGTGCTCTGGCTGCCCGACCTGCCTCTGCTGCTCCCTCTGGAGCTCCCTTTCACGGGAAAAGCCGCCTCTGGCGACCCCCCCAGCTCACCCCGCCTCTCCATGTGAAACCTCGCCCCTATCCCCCCTCCCCATCCGCCCCCTTCCCCCCCTCCTCCTCCCCTGCTCCTCCCCACGCCCCACCCTCTCCTCCACCCTGACTGGCTCGCAGACTCGCCGCCCAGATCCCTATCAGAATCGGAATCAGATATGGGGGAGGCGAAGCCAAAGGGGCCGAGGAAGAGGAGCACGAGGCCGTAGGCGAGCAGGGAGAGGCCGCCCAGAAAGCCTCCAGTCAGAGTCACCGACCGGTCCGTGCCACCCGAATCACTCACTGACCCCTCATAACCCACTTCTCCATCCCCTTCCCGCTGGCCTCCTCCCCTGCCATTCCCCGCCTTCCCCTCTCCTCCCAGCCTTTTGCTTCTCCCAAACGCGCCTTCATAGTACTTCACCCCCACCCCTGCTGTATCCTTCATGAGGGCACGGAGAAAACAAGCCAGCTGGCCCAGAAACGACACCAGCAGCAGTGCCTGCAGCCCTGCCCCTGCTGCTGCAGCGGCAGAGGGGGGAATGGCGCCAGAGGCAATGGCGAGGCCGACGGCGAAGAGAGAGACGTGGGAGGCGGAGGCGAGGAGGGCGGAGAGGAGCAGGGTCATGCTGATGAAGGGACGGGCGAGCGCGAGGTAGAGCAGGTGGCAGCACGCCAGCACCAGCAGCACTGTGCACTGCGCACACGCGTCCCTGGTAGCATCTGCTGAGCTGGCAGGGCGGGCCATCCAGCTGTAGCTGGCTACAACCACAGCGAGGGAGCAGCGCAGGCAGAGGTCCAGAGGCACGTGGGCTATGCCTGCCCACCCCGACGCCCATTGCAACCCACGCCACAGCCTACCCATGGCCGAGTGGCTGTCTGCTGTGCTGTGGCCGTATGCACTTGCTGCATGCGCACGAGCATAACCACGCCCATGCGTGAATGAATCATCGACATCCCACCAGTCCCCTCCTCCTCCATACCTTTCATCCTTCACAATTCTCCATCGCCCCCCATCCTCACTTCCTCCTCCTCTTCCTCCCTCCCCAAACGAAACTGGGTGCACTGCTGCTGCTCGGCCAGAAAAGCTGCTTCGGCCAAAAGCTGAGCCTAAAGGCGAGCCGCTGGCTCGGCCCGAACCTGAACCACTTCCTCGGCCCGAACCTGCACCGGTGGTTTGGACCACGGCTGCTCCTCCGTTCCGGGTGCCACCCCACTGAGACTCGAATAGCAGCCCCCAACTGCCAATGAAAGCTGGACACGTGGCAGGGTCTGTGATGTGCCACGTGCCATGGGCTGAGGTGGACGAGGGGAGCTGGTGGGCAGAAAAGAAGCAGAGGAGGTGGAGGGAGGGAGAAGTGAAGGCTGGCAGGATCAAAGATGAGAGAAGAAGTTTGGGTTTGAATCTAGTACTAGCAGTGTGGGTTCGGATCGGTGTTGACAGTTTAAGACTAGGAGGCTCACAAAGAAAGCCGGAAGACTACGAAGAAAACCAGATAAGGTAACTTAAAGTATTACAAGCAAAACAACAAGAAAGGCAAAGCACCATGAAGAGGGCACACTCTCTCTCGTACCACACTCTCCTACCACACGACAGTGCACACACAGGCCGTACCTGGTAGACAACAGCCTTGTTCTTGCCGGCGATGTTGCGGAGGAAGAAGGCAAGCAGGAAGGGTAGATTCGCCACCACCACCACCACTGCCACGAAGGGCAGGCCTGCCCAGCCTGAAGGAATTGGTAGGAGGGATTCAAAGAGTTCGGAAGAGGTCGATTCACACAGACAGGCTCGCTAGGTATTAGAAAGTTGTGAATCTTCAGAGTACGATGGACTGAGAATGGGGGGAGGTGCAGTGCAGGAACCGAGCAGAGAGGTCACGGGAAGTAAAAGCATGCCAGGCAGGCAGGCAGGCAGGTAGTGCAGCAACAGAGAGAGGCAGGCAGCAGAGCAAGTGAGGTGAGATCAGTCCCGACTGACCAGCGGTGAGCAGAGTAAGGGCGTGGCAGAGGGCGGGCAGGCAGAGCAGCAGCATGAAGAGCAGTGGGCGCGGCCAGTTGAGCAGATGACCAACCTCCCATGGCATGTGCATCCCTGCCTCCCCGCCTGCTGCTCCCGACCCCCACCCCACTCCTCCTGGTGATTCCCCTCCCCTTCCCCCTCCTCCTCCTATGGCTGCTGCTGCTTCCCATCCTGCTGGCAGCTTCCGCATTTCCAAACCTGCTGCTGTTGCTGATGATGTTGCGGAGGCGGCTTTGGCGGCACGGGAGGAGAGGAAGAGGAGGAGGTAAAGGAGGGCGTGGAGGAGGAGGGTGCAGATGAGGAGCAGGGCGGACCAGAAGAGAGTTCCCCATGCGATGTTGATGCTGTAGGGGAGAAGGGGAGAGGGATGGAGGGGAAAACGGGGGAGCAGAATGTGACAGAATGTGTGGGCATGTGCATGTGTGGAACGTGCATGTGTGGGCATGTGCATGTGTGGCACGTCCGTGCGTGGGCACATGCATGTGTGGGCACGTGCATGTGTGGGCACGTGCATGTGGGGCACGTGCATGTGTGGGCACGTGCATGTGGGGCACGTGCATGAGCAAAGGAACGTGCAAAGCAGGGAGGCACTCACGCGACCTGGGGGGCGGAGGGGTACTGCATGCGTGCCAGTGCCTCCTGCTGCAGCTGCTCCTCCGACTGGTGAGGGAAAGGTGAAGATTGGACGGAGCAAGGCAGGGCAGTGCAGGGCAGGGCAGAGCAGGGCAGGGCAGTGCAGGGTAGGGCAGGGCAGAGTAGGGCAGGCAAATGACAAGATGAGCACAACAGGAAAGACTGAACTGGAAACGGAGAATGGGGATGTTGGGGGAGGGAATCGTGACTGCAGGTGAACCGAGACAGACAGAGAGGAACCTGAGAGCACCAGCATGCACCTATGAGCACCTCAACACGCCTATAATTACCTCAACGCACCTGGGAGCACTTCAACGCACCTGGGAGCACCTCAACGCACCTGGGAGCACCTCAACGCATCTTAAAGCACCGCAACGCACCTGGGAGCGCCAGGTGGTTCCTGCAGATTCATCGTTGCCCGTCACTGCAGGTGCCTCTGTTGGGGTATCCTCGGATGTAGTGGCAGCAGCAGTGGGAGGAGCAGCAGTTGTAGCAGTTGTAGCAGCTGTAGCAGTGGGAGCAACTGTAGCATTGGTAGAAGCAGTAGGAGTAGCATCAGCTGCAGCGGCTGTAGCAGCAGTAGCAGGGGTACCAACAATAGGAACAGCTCCAGCAGCAGTAGCAGCAGTGCCAACAGCAGGGCTATAGCTGCTGCTCGCAGCATTCCAGCTAGCACTAGGGTTAGGGTTAGCATTAGGGTCTACATAAGGGCTATATGGGCTATATGGGTTAGACGTCATAGCAGGGTTAGAGGGGTTAGATGGATTAGGGGGGTTAGTGGGGTCAGTGGGGTTAGGAGAAATAGGGCCATGAGCAGAGAAGACAAGGAGGCGGCGCATGGGCCAGGGCAGCCTCTCCCGCTTCGTAGACCTCGAAGGAGCATCCCTGCGGTTGTCTGTGTGGCTGGGGGGGACGGCTGTGCTGCCTGTGCCAACTGTGCCGCCTTGACTAGCTTCCTGACTCGCCATGCGGCTCAGGATGGCCTGTTCTTGAATGGCGTGCATAGCCGCATCGCCATCGCTCTCACCACCACCAGCATCACCACCATGGTTGGTGTGCTCCACCCCACCTGCCCTGCTATCCTCCTCCTCCGCCCCTCCACTCCATGTAGGCCCTCCATTCCCAGCACCCCCTCTTATCCCTCCCCACACCCACCTCTGCACGACCTTCCACAGTGCTGCCTCCTCCCCTCCTCTGCCACGCCACACTCCTCCCATCCTCTCCCCCCATGCGCCGACTCTCTCTCGCAACCACCTTCCTCTCCCCCTCGACGCCCCCCTCCTCTTCCACCTCATAGTCGACAGCCCCTGCACTCCCCTCTCATCTCTCTCCACTCCACCCTTCCTGCTGCCCCACCCTCTCCCTTCCTCCCGTCCACCACCCTTTCTTCCACCCTCTTCACTCTCCACACTCTCCTCATCACTCGACTCAATCCCCCCTTCGCTCTCCTCCTCATTCTCTTCCTCGCTCCCCTCTACAAACTCCTCTCCTCTCTCCCTTCTCTCCTCCTCACTCTTCTCCTCACTCCTCTCTACACTCTCCCCAATCCCCTCGTCCCCCCTCTCCCGATTCCTCTCCCATCTCTCCTCCTCACTCACCTCCTCACTCTCCTCCTCATTCCCTTCCTCACTCACCTCCTCACTCTCCTCATTCTCCCCTTCACTCACCTCCTCACTCTCCTCATTCCTCTCCTCTCTCACCTCCTCACTCTCCTCAAGTATCACACTCCCACCTCTTCCCCTTGTCACAGTGCCTCTCCTCTCTCTCAGGTGTCGCTCCACAGCATCAGACCCGCTATCCTCCACACCACCCTCAGCATCCCCCATCACCGCTTCCACTGCAGCAGCAACCGGACCGAACCCCTTTGGCCCTGTCGACCGCCCTGCTGCGACTGTAGTAGCCTTGGCTCCTGTGGCTCCTGCTGCTGCAGCTCCTGTGGCTGTATCCTTGGCTGCTCCTCCAGCGATTCCTCCTGCTGCTGACGCTGTTGCTCTGGTCGTGGCAACTGCCCTTGCTGCAGAAGCTGCGGTGGCTGTAGCAGCCTTCCCTGCTACAGCTGGAGGCACCACCGCAGGCGCACCACTTGCTGCTGCTGTTGTTGCCGGTAGCCCTGCCACTGCACCTCCTCCTACTGCTCTCCCTGCCTCTCCTGCTGCTGATGCTCCTGCCGCTCCTACTGCGCTCCCTGCCTGCCCTGCTCCTCCTGCTGCTCCCACGGTTCCCACCGCCCCAGAGGGCAGCCTCATTGCACCTCCCGTCCCTCCCACCATCCCACCCAGTGCTGCCACTGCATGGTCCGCTGGCACTCCTGCAGGTGCGGTGAAGGCAGGTGGCGCATTGGGAGCAGGGAAGTGCGAGGGGGCCTGTGCGGGAGAGGTAGGGGCGGACGAGTTACCACCTGCTTCTCCTGCTCCCGCCCCTGCTCCTCCCCCTCCGCCCGCCTCCCCCCCGTCCTCCCCCTCCTCCCCATACACAGGCGCATCATGCGCCCAGGGCAGGGGGGCATGGGGCAGCACCCACCAGAGCTGCTGCGCTGTTTCCAGGAAGGTGAGAGGCAGGTCGACCCGTAACCAGGCAGCGAAGGCAAAGACCTGCAGCGATGAGAACATGTGCTGTGTAGGGAGGGGGAGGAGGAGAGGAATGGGGGGAGAGGAGGAGAGTGAGGTGGAATAGGTGGATGGAGTGGAGGAGGAGGTGGGGTAACACATGGCAAACGAGAGATGGGTTTTGGGGCTTGACATATGGCACCCACCCCACCACACCACACCACACCACGCCACACCACGCCACACCGCAACAGTACACTCGACCGTGGATTCCAATGAGGGAGCAGAGATGCATGTCCAGACGTGCTGAAAACACCACACCATGATGTACTCAGCAAGGCGCGGGGAGGGGAAGGGGGAGTGCACTCACGAGCAGGTTTCTGGAGGGGGAGAGGGGCAGGCGGCCGTGCATGGGAGGGAGGAGGCCGCGCGTGTCGAGGGTGGAGGAGGAGAGCGAGTAGAGTGCTGAGAGGGCTGCTGCTGTCACTGTGGTGACGCACTCAACAATGGGAAAAGGGGGGGGATGCTCATGCACTACACTCACCAGCAGGTTCCTGGACGGGGAGAGGGGCAGGCGGCCGTGCATGGGGGGGAGGAGGCCGCGCGTGGTGAGGGCGGAGGAGGAGAGCGAGTAGAGGGCCGAGAGAGCTGCTGCAGTCACTGTGGTGACGCTGATGGTGGTGGCAATGATGCTGGCCGTGGAGGAAGGCGCGTCTGAGAGGAATAAGGAGAGGTGGGGAGGCATGGAGAGAGGTAAAGATATGTAAGAAGAGGAAGAATGAGGTGGGGAGAGGTAAGGAGAGGCAAGAAGGGGGAAGGACTGTGAAGCGGCGATGGCAAGAAGATGGTTGGAGCAGAGAAGGGATGGTCTGGGAGGGGGAGAAGGAGGGAAGGGGGGTGAGGGAGAAGGAAATAAAGCAAGGGTGAAAGCGGAGAGGAAACGACCAAAAAGGGCGCATGAAAAGAGAGGGGCAATCGTGTACCAATTCAATGCATGCTTTTGAAACATGAGACGGACAGTCTTACCTTCTTTTCCATTCTCTCTTGCCTAAGCTGGAAGGGGAGTGGCAATGAGGCAGAACAGATGGATGGAACGACTACATGGAGCCAAAACGGAGGAGCCAAAACGGAGGAGAAGGCCAAGAAGGAGACAAAAGAAGAGAAGATGGAGGAGAAAAGAACGGTGGAAGGGCGTACAGGTGATGTGGATGGTGTTGGAGGCGAGGGAGGTGGTGCCCCAGGGGGACGAGAGATGGATGACACAACAACAATAGGGAGCCGAGGTTGAGGAGAAGGAGACAGGCGAAGAGAAGATGGAGGAGAAATCAGTGGGAGGGCGTACAGGTGATGTGGATGGTGTTGGAGGCGAGCGAGGTGGTGCCCCAGGGGGTGGTGGCGGCGCCGGGAAGCAGGGAGACGGAGAGGGTGGCAGGGGGAGGTGCTGACTGGGGCAGGGTGATGTGCGCTAGGAAGGCTGCTGGGCTGACCCGCTCCACCCTGTTGGGTTTGCATTGTGGGAGGGGAGAGGGGAGGCGGGTGAGCGAGGGTAGGAGTGGGAGGGAGAGGGAGAGGGAGGGGAAAGGAGAGTGGGAAACATTGACTAGGGCAAGTAGTTGGTGATCAGAGCTGTTGCACTACAAGTTCCGCCATCCCATCCCTCCTTTGTCTGTCTCGTGCATCAGTATCGTCCCATGCTGGATGCCCCATGTGCCATATCACTCCACTCCACATGCCCAATACCCAATCCGCCACCTCCCTCTTTCCCCCTACTCCACACCCCGCCTCAACACTCCACACCCCGCCTCACCACTCCACACGGGCACCGTCAGTCCCATTCACCACGATAGTGCCCTGCCGAATGCTCAATACCCCAGCGACTGCCTCTTTCGTCCTTTTTCTTCCCACCAATCCTCCCACCCCACACTCACCACTCCACGCGGGCGCCATCAGTCCCATTCACCCCGATAGTGCCCTGCCGAATGCTCGACACCGGCGCCGATGCATTGATCAGAAACGTCAGCTCCCTCTGCGCCACCTCATACGACGCTGCTGGTACCACTGCTGCTGCTGCTGCCCCTGCTCCTCCCAGTGCTGCTGAGTTTGATTCATTACTGGGCGATACAGAGGGCAGCACTGACGCCAGCGAGGGTGGCGAGGGCAGCGAGGAGGAGTCAGCAGGGGCGGTGCTGTCTGGTACTGGTACAGTGCTGCCCGGGGGCCACAGGATGGGCCCGGAACCCAGCCCGCTGCGGTAGGTGTCGGGGTGCTGCAGGAGAGACAGCTGCATGCTGGCGGGGTTGGTGCCTGGCGGGTCAGGGGAGGTGGGGGGGAGTGATGGGGTGAGTGCACGGTGCCGCTCGGGGGCCACATGATGGGCCCGGAACCCACCCCACTGCGGTAGGTGTCGGGGTGCTGCAGGAGCGACAGGTGCATGCTGGCTGGCTGGGTGCCTGTGAGAACATACGGACTTGAGAAAAAGATTGAAGAGTGAGTGGGGTAAAGTGACAGGCCAGCAGGGGAGGTTAAGCGAGGAGGTGGGGTGGGAAGGCAAGGTGAGGGCGCAGGCCGGTACTGCTGTGGGCACTGTGGCGTTCATTTAACCAATGCTGGGCAAAGCGTGGCCACGGGAGGATGTACCACAATGGTACATCCCCCTGGGGGGGACAAGTGGTGCACACAACCAGAGGGGCTGCCAGAGATGGCCGGTACAGCCAGCAGGGTGGCTTAGTGGTTCAGGCATAGTGTGGGAAGGTGGGAGCCACGTACCTGAGATGATGGCGGCGGTGTTGGACTGCTGGTTGAGGTTGCCATGTACACTCACAGGGACCTTAGCTGGCTGCCGCTTTGGGATGCTGACTCAGATTTCCAGGTACATATACAATGGATTTGAACCTGGAATGTACATAGCGAAACATTATATTAAGTTATACTGTGGGGGGCAGTACGCACCGAAAATGATGGCTGCGGTGTTGGACTGCTGGTTGAGGTTGCCATGCACACTCACGAGCGTGTTGGGCTTCACTGTCACCGTGATGATTCCTGGGTTCACGAATGGCACCACCTGATGATGCGTCAGCACAGCAAGGAGGCAGAGGACAGGGGGGGAGAAGCGATGAGCTTCAGCCACTGACGAGCGTGCTGGGCTTCACTGTCACCGTGATGATTCCCGCATTCACAAATGGCACCACCTGATGATGATGTAGTAAAGCAGGGATGGCAGGAGGAAGGCACGAGGTGGAGGATGGTAAGAAAGAAGGAGTCAACATTACGGTTTAACCAAAAGCCATCCTTCCTACTCAGAGCTTCACTTGCAGCAGCACTCACGCAGAACTTAAAGAGCCGCCTAGACAGCCTGGCGAGCACCACGGCCCATGGGTAAGTAATCCCCTGGACCCAGCAGCACTGCCGTCCCAGTCCTGACCAAGTGCCATCTCCCACTGAAACAGCGTTTTCAGTATCCCCACATCCCAACCAGCGACCTGGCAGCAGCACTCACGCGGAACTTGAACAGCCGGCCCGACAGCCGGGCGAGCACCACGGGGTAGCTGCCGGTGACGTTGAGCGAGTTGAGCAGCCGCTGCTTCAGTGACGATGCAGAGCTTGTCGCATCCGTGCTTTCACCTCCACATTCATCCCCACCTGTCTGTACTGGCATGTCAAGTGTGTGTGTGCACGGCATGGCCGCTACGAAAGGCACTTACTCGGAACTTAAAGAGCCGCCCAGACAGGCGGGCGAGCACCACGGGGTAGCCGCCAGTGACGTTGAGCGAGTTGAGCAGCCGCTGCTTCAGTGACGATGCAGAGCTCGTCGCATCCGTGGTGTCGTCTCCCTCTGTATCGCCTGTGCTCCTCGCCTTCCCAGCGCCGTTTCCACTCACTACCGCTCTTGACACCCCTCCAACCCTTCCAGCCGCTCCCACTCCCACTCGTCCTCCTGCCCCTGCTGCTCCCGCTCCTCTTCCTCTCCTCCGCTCCCACTCCCACTCCCCTCCTCCTCCTCCTCCTCCTCCTCCTCCTCCTCCTCCTCCTCCTCCTCCTCCTCCTCCTCCTCCTCCTCCTCCTCCTCCTCCTCCTCCTCCTCCTCCTCCTCCTCCTCCTCCTCCTGCCGCCTCTTCAAAATTCAACGGAGCATCCGATTCCTCATCACTCTCCTCATCACTCTCCTCACCCCCAGCAGCAGTCTCAGAGATATTCACCACAGTGGGGGTGAGCGGGGCTACGGAGGGAATGCGGGTGGAGAGCACGAGGTAGAATACGAGGTCAAGGGGCTGGTGGGAGGAGAAGAGCTGGTGGCATGACGGCACAGGGACCAGGACTGAGGTGTTTGCTAGAGCTTCCACTGACCCCACCACCACTGCACGCGCACTGCTGCTGCTGCTGCTGGCGCCGCCCCTGCCTGGAACGTTCCCCCACCCACTGCCGCTGTTACTCACACTGGTGGTGCTGCCCAAAGGAGAGCGAGGTATCCCACCCCCGGCAGCACTCAGCCTGATGCTGCCCGCGTTAATTCCACTAGTGAGACCCATGGAACTTGCACCACTGCTGCTGCCGCTGCCGCTGCTGCTGCTGCTGCCACTGCTGCTGCTGCCGTCGCTTCTCCCCACATCTACGACCACAGGCGAGCAGCCTCTGCCGTCGGCTAAACCGCCCCCACCGCTGCTGCTGCTATTGCCACTGGAAATACTGGCAGCAGCGCCATGCACCCAGGAGGCGAGCTGGCCGCCGTAGGTGTCAGTGAGACTCGAGAGGCTGACTGGCTGCATGGTGGCAGCCAGCAGAGCCACTGTGAAGTTGCGCAGGTCTGAAGGGAAAGGGGGGTGCAGGAAGGGAAGGGAGAGGTGATGAGAGGGGGGAGGCAGCAATACTGGCAGCGGTGCCATGCACCCAGGAGGCGAATTGGTCTCCATAGGTGTCTGCGAGGCTTGAGAGGCTGACTGGCTGCATGGTGGCTGCCAGCAGCGCCACTGTGAAGTTGCGCAGGTCTGAGGGAGGAAGGGGGGAGAGCGAGAGGAGGGGGGGGGGGAAGACGGGGCGAGGTTAGGGGGGCGAGGGGTGTGGGGTGTGGCAGGGGAATGGGGGGTGCGGAAATGGGGAATGGCAGGATGGGAGGGGCAGGGGGGGTTCGGCTTAGAAGGACAAAAGTTGGCAGCTGATGGTGACAGTTGAGAGGTGTGCCGTTTGAGGGCAAGGCTTACCGTAACGGATGCGAATGACGGTGTTGTTGCCCTGCTGCACGAACGTGCGGTTACCACACGCGTCCTCCCGCACGCGCACTCCTTTTGAGGCGTCCCTAATTGAAGGCTTACCGTAGCGGATGCGGATGACAGTATTGTTGCCCTGCTGCACGAACGTGCGGTTACCACACGCGTCCTCGCGCACGCGCACCACCACCCGCCCCGTCAGCGCCGTGGGCAGCACATCCACTGTGTACTCCCGTCCCCACCGCACCTGCTGCCACGATGCATAGTCTATAACCCCGCTTTCCCGCACCCTCAGCTGGTGTGACAGTCGAACAAGGGGGTGAAGAGGGAGGGAGGGCGAGCGGGAGGAGGGAGAGGAGAGGAGAATGGTGAGCGCCGTGGGCAGCACGTCCACTGTGTACTCTCGCTCCCACCGCACCTGCCGCCATGATGCGTAATCGATAATGCCACTTTCGCGCACTCTCAGCTGGTGGCACAGTAAAACAGCGGGGTGGGAAGGGAGGGCGAGGGGCAGAAGGTGAGCAGTGGAGAGGGGCGAGTGCCGTGGGCAGCACGTCCACTGTGTACTCTCGCCCCCACCGCACCTGCTGCCACGATGCATGGTCGATGGCCCCGCTCTCGCGCACTCTCAGCTGGTGTGACAGTCGAACATGGCGGTGCAGAGAGAGGGAGAGGCATGAGGAGGGATGTGGGGAAGGGAGTGGAGGCTCGCGGATAGGGTGGGAGAGGGGTGGAGGAGGGATGGAGGGGTGGGAGAAATTGGAACCGCCATTAGGAGGTACAGGCACAGGGAGGGGCAGAGGGGAGCTAAGAGGGCCATTATGTAACGGGCGGGACGGCAGGTGACGGGGGATGAGGGAGGAAACGGAAATACCTCAAGTAATACTGAATGCGTCTTCTGAAATGCGAATGCGTCTTTTACATGGGGGTGTGAGTGCGTGTGACTGTACCGAGCAGAGGTGGTATGGGTGTGAGGGAGTGTGACTATACCGAGCAGTAGCGTGCGTTGCAGCGGAAGGCAGGGCAGGGGCGGTTGAAGAGGATGGTGACGTGAGAGCGGTTGCTCTGCTGGGTGATCCTCGTGTAGGTCATGCTGGGACTCATGGGCGATGCGGCAACTGCACATATGTGGGAGGTGAAGGGGAAGAGAGAGGGGAAGGGTAAAGATCACGCTGGGCAACACAGGCTGCCACTGGGTGACGTGAGAGGTCATGCTGAGAGCGGTTGCTTTGCTGAGTGATCCTCGTGTAGGTCATGCTGGGACTCATGGGCGATGCGGCAACTGCACGGAAAAGGGGGGCAGGAAAGAAGAGGAGTTGCGAGGGGCGTGGCAGGGTGAAGGTCATGCTGAGAGCGGTTGCTCTGCTGGGTGATCCTCGTGTAGGTCATGGCGGGACTCATGGGCACCGCTGCCACTGCACTGCACACATGAGGGGGAGAAGGGCGAAGATCACGCTGGGCATCACAGGCACCGCTGCCACTGCGTGAGGTGAGAGCGGTTGCTCTGCTGAGTGATCCTCGTGTAGGTCATGCTTGGGCTCATGGGCGATGCTGCCACTGCACGTGGGAGGGGGCGGGAAAGGAGAGGAGCAATGTGGGGCGTGGCAGGGCGAAGGTCGTGCTGAGAGCGGTTGCTCTGCTGTGTGATCCTCGTGTAGGTCATGGAGGGACTCATGGGCACCGCTGCCACTGCACACATGTGGGGGAGGACGGGGGAAAGAGGGGGGAGAAGGCAGGGTGTAGGTCATGGTGGGACTCATGGGCACCGCTGCCACTGCATGCATGGAGGTACGGGAGGGGGGAGAAGGGGGGGGAAGGAAAGAGAGGGTGGAAGGGAACAGCGTGAAGTGTGAGGGGGAGGAGAGTGAAGGCCACGCTGAGGGGCTCATTGGCGCCGCTGCCACTGCACGATTGTGTGGGGCGGAGGGGAAGAGGAGCGGGAGGAGGAGGGAGCGAGGCGAGAGGGAGGTGAGGTGTGAGGGACAAGGGGAAGGAGCGGAGTAGGGTGACGGCCATGCTGGGTTGCACAGGTGCTGTTGCCACTGCGTGAAATGCGAGACAGGAGGGTGGAAGAGGGGGGAAAAGAGGGGAAGGAGGGCGGAAAGGGAAGGGCGGGTGTGTGAGGCCATTCTCATTCCCTGCACTTCAATGCTCACCTGCCTTATGGCCTAGCGATTAAGGCCTCATCCGTCTTATTCCCTGCTGTTTTCTGTCGCCTGGCTGCATCCCTACCCTACTGCTTTATGCCCCTCCTGTCCTAAACCGCGTACGAACTTGCATACCAGTGCCTTACGCCTCATAAGTTTCTCATCCACCTTACCACACCCTCCGTATCGCCACCTATCACCACTTGTCACCACCTGTTGCCACCTATCGCCAAACATTGCCAACTGTCACCACTTATTTCCACCTGTTTCCACCTGCCGCCACATCACCACTTACCGCCGCTATTGCCAAATGTTGCCACCTGTCGCCATCTGTCGCCACCTGTCTCCACCCGTCGCCAACTATTGCCACCTGTCTCCACCCGTCGCCATCTGTCGCCACCTGTCTCCACCCGTCGCCACCTATTGCCACCTATCGCCACCTGTCCGGGAGTGCCGTCACCCCTGCCTCGCCCTGCATCTGCTGCCTCCTACGAAGCCCACACTGCCGCATGACCCTCATACCTCTCCCGGCCCACTCAGCAGCGCCCCACCTCATCGTCCTTCCTCTTTCCCCCGAGCCGTCATGGCCAAGCATAGAGCGCTCCCCTTAGTCCATTCCTCACCGGCCTTGTCTTCTTCACCTCCTTGCGCCCAATGCCCCACCTTGCCTGCCCCATCCTCCATGCTCCGCCCTCCAACCCCACCCTCCGTGCCCCAACCTGCCTGCCGCGCATGCCCTACCAGCGTATCCCCTCTCTGTCAGAGCAGCACCCTACCTGCAGCGCCCGTGTCCATCGCCCTAGAGCCCCTGCTTACAGAAAACCCCACAGTACTGCCTCAGCTCGCCTGCTGCTCTTGTCGTCTACGATCGCAAGCCTGCTGCGCCCTCATCCGTTTGCTGCCCTTCCTAATGCCATCTAGCAATCTATCTTACTGCCGTCTTTCCGTCTATTCTAATGCTGTAATTGCGTTTACCCTAAAGCCGTCCTTCCGTCCAACCTAGCGCCGTCTCTCCGTCAATCCTAATCCCGTGGTTCCGTCTAGATTAATGCCGTGATTTTGTCTAGATTAATGCCGTGATTTTGTCTAGATTAATGCCGTGATTTTGTCTAGATTGATGCTGTGATTTTGTCTAGATTAATGCCGTGATTTTGTCTAGATTAATGCCGTGATTTTGTCTAGATTAATGCCGTGATTCCGTCTACCCTAAAGCCGTCTTTCCAGCGTCTATCATCCTAATCCCCCTCCCTGACCGTGCGAGCCCTGTCACCCGCCCCTCACCTGATCCCGCCTCCACTCCGCCCGGCGCGCCAACCACGAAGTCCAGAATGCCCCAACCGCTCACCTGCCCGCTCCGTCTACCCTAATGCCGTCTTTCCGACTAAACTAATGCCGTCCTTTCAGCATCTATCACCCTAAATATCCCCCTTCCGCGCTACCCCGCCCACCCGCCCCTCACCTGATCCCGCTTCCACTCCGCCCGGCGCGCCCACCACGAAGTCTAGAATGCCCCACCCGCTCGCCTGCCCGCTTTTCTCCTGCGCCACCACGTCGAACCGATGGTAACCGTCCTGCACGTCCGTCAGCCGAACTCGCCACGTGTCGCACGGAATCATCCATTGGTCCAGCTGGCCGCAAAAAACGGGTTCGCGAAAAAGAAGGCATTCAGCCCAGAAGAAAAAAACTGTTGACTCAAAGAATATAACACGAGTGACACCGACAGTTAAAGCCTGAAACTGTAATTCCAATAAGGCATGAAATATATCTTCAATCTGAACAAAGCCAGCACTGCTGGCAGAGAGAGAGACAGGAGTCTCCGCACATCTCGACTCTCGTCATCTCTTCACTCGTCCTCTTACCGCGCACGACACGAGGCAGTCGCGGCACGTCTCGTTGCCGACGATCTTGCGCACGTCGAAGTAGATCCGCACCACCTGCTTCCCCTTCTTCGACTTGCCCTGCGCGCCCCTGGGAAACAGAACCTTCAGCCTGAGCGCTGCACGCGCGTTATCGCTGCCCGTCGCCGCAACCCCGCTCGTCGTTGACCGCCTATTCCGCTTCAACAACATTTTGTCGTCGGGCAGTGGGGTAGTAATACTTCCTGGAGAAATGTTTCCAACCCAAACCACGTCTTCAGGCCCGGGTTCGTCCATCCAGTTATCCTCGCTATAATAGTCCTCGTCATAGTCCGCATCCGATTCAGCTACAGACGACGGCGCTACAGGGGGCGAAACGGGTCGAGGAGAGGTCTGACTACCGGGAGGCGACGTTAGGGTTTGAACGGCCAGGGCGCGCCTATCTGTGAAGCTGCTGGCTGTAGTCGCCGCCTCTTGCATCGACTGTAACGACTGCGTTAGGGTTTGAACGGACGGCGTATGCGTGTTTGGGAAGCTATCTGGCGCGACTACCGTATCACGAGTACCCTTAGATCGCTCGTAAACGGACGGTCTAGATGCGATCACGGGCTGGCTGCGGAAGCACAGAGCCAGCACTATGATAAATAACGCTGCTGACGATTGTAACCATGTACCCGTCGCTTGGTTTCGCCGTCGATTCGTAGCCTGGTTTCGTCTATTCGTCGCCTCAGTCTCCCTATTTCTTACTTTTTGAGGCGCGAGCCTACGGCACTGCGTTGAAATGGAAAAATCGGGCAGTGCTTTCGATCGCTGCGACGGCTCTACTGTATGATGGAAGTTTACTAGAGCGGATTGTATGAAGGTGGAAAAGGTGGGGTTCCCTCGGTGCGTGAATCTTTCCGTGTAGAACGAGGCCGGCTTCGAGCTGCACGGCCGAAACGCCATTCCGTACTAGTTAGTGAACACTAACTAGTAGTCTCCTAGAGCGACTTTTTCTCTCATCGGTTCTTAACGCGGTCTCCGTAAGGGGTCCGAGTGATGAATATCGGACTTGAAAGTGACAAAAGCAAGGGACATGGCGTGAGATTACTAGCTGAAAGATTTGCTTGCGCGCAGGTGCAGAAGGGCGGGAAGATAAGCTATGAGTTGGCCCTTGACCAGAGCTACCCCCATTACCTCCGTGATCAGCTTGACAGCACTCCTGACTGCCGCTTCCGTAAGTGGCAGCACTGCCAGTCAGATTTGAAACCCTGAGGGTTGATTCAAATCTTACAGTTACAGTTTTCCCGCCAAATGATGCGCCTCTAACCAATAGGGATTACGAGTCAGGAGCCGCGCTTTTGGAAATTTACAAATTTCTGACCAGATCTGACCGCTCTGGCCGTGACGAGAAACGCTGACTTGCTTTCTGTTATAGTTTTTAAACGATGGTTTTGGAATATCTAAAACAAAGCTAAACTTTGCAAGAGCGTGTTAAGATATCACATGTAATCAGATTATATTAAAAAAAAAACTACTATTATTTGAGCATTCTCAAAAAGAGTCAACTGGCCTGTCCGAGCAACTTAGACTGCAATGCACGATTCCACCTAATCTAGGTTCTGTAGTCTGTGAGTCAACTCTGCCCTCCCACCTCGTCTCCCTCCCCACCATCATCAGTACCTGGTATGAACCTACCCGGCTATCTGTCTGTGTACATCACCGCGAACATAACCCCCATTAGGCAAACAGAGATATGTCAACTTGGTCAGGGCAGTCAGTTGCTCCAACCCATCGTTCCTGACTGCCGTTCCATTCAGCCAGAGTTGCTCGAGCCCTGTCAACCTCCCCACATGCACCATGCCCGCATTCGTCACCCCCTTGCAATCACCAAGCCCCAGCGCCTTGAGAGAGTGAAGACCCCTCAAGTGCGAAAGCCCAGCATCCGTCACCTTGGTAAGCTTGAGATACAAGATTTCAAGATTCACCAAGGATCCAACGCCTTCTAAGGCACTGTCCGTGACGTCGGTGCACCTGAGCTCTAGCTCCTCCAGCTGTGGCAGCCTGTAGAGGTGCCTGATGCCTTCTGCAGTGAAGCCAGAGGTAGAGCACAAGTCAATGCTCTTGAGATGGGTTATGGTGGACACCAGGCGGAGGATGCTGTCTGAGACGCCGTGGAGATTACTCAGGTTCAGATGAGTCTCTTGTAATGCTGCCTTGATTGCCTGGAATGATTGGGTAGAGAGGGCGTACACGAAAAGTGAGAATAAAGGAAGACATGCTTAAACTACAAAGCAAAACATGCCTTGTGAAACGACGCATGCTATGGAACAGGACTCCGCACTCACCTTCAATGCTTTCTTCTGATTGCCTTCACTCTGCCCGATTTCCAGCCGAATATTTGACTTCAAATCGTGCATCCTCTGCCATTCCTTGCAGGCTGCCAGTTCCTCCATGGCACGTGGCCAATTCAACTGCTGCACCTCCCTCCTCCTCTCCCTTGCCAGCTCCGCCCTCAGCTCTCTCAAATCCGTTTCTCTTCTTCTTTCCACCATATCCAATTGTTTCGTCACAGTGCCCTTGTGTTCAGTTAACTCCTGTTTCACTGCTGCCAATTCCCCCTTGGCTGCTGCCAACTCCCTCCTTGTCTTTTCCAGCTGCATGTCAAGCGCCCTTATTTTCATCTCCATCGCCTTTTTCAACTCGTGTGTCCAGGACATACCCGCCATGGCAGTCCCAATAGCCTCACTCACTCTCTTCCTACGCATTTTAGCACACGGGTGGCAGCACATGGGTGCACGCAGAAGCAGGAATGGAAATGAGCAAGATTCAAATATGAGAGGGGCTGAAGAATTGAGGGTAACAAACGGAGGGAGGCATGATAGCGTGGGAGAAAAATGCAAGAACGCGCACATGTGGGATTGAGGCGAGAACAACATGATCAGGGTCAGCAAGCAGGAGTGAGGGTAGAACAGGTCGTACTGGCATTGCGTCCTATGATGGCACAGGAAAAGGCACACAAACGTTAAACTATGAACGCCGCTGGGACAGGGCACGTTTGAAGCTGATGCTGCCCTCACGAATTTTGGGCAGCCCGAAGTTGACCATTTGTTTGCATAACAAAACGCAACGGGTCAAATCATTCATAGCTTAAAAATTTGCAACCGCTTTATACTGGTACTCCCACATCAATACAAAAATTAAACATTTTCAAGTGTAGGAAACAATCATGCATGAGACAGGAAGGAGAATAAGATTAAACTATAAGGTGAGGCATGCTCACATGGGGCTGTGCAGCAGAGAGACAAATCCACGTGGCTGGCAAGGAAGAGTGGCGAAGGGAGGGGAGGAAAGAAGGGGGATCAAAGACAGGAGAAAGATGTGTAGCAGCATGGGGAACAGGAGAAAGGGCACAAAGGATTGTGGAGAGAGCCTCGAAAGTAGGCACGCGCATAATGCCAAGCCCTGACTCGGCTCGTCTGACTCCACTCGAATTTTACTTGTCTGACTCAAGTTTATTCTAAACTCGAGTCAAGCCGCGTCGAGCAGAGCTCGTCCAGCCAAACACAACTTGCGAAACAAATCAGCTCAAGTCAGGCTGCAAGTTGGCTCATCAAAGCCAACCAGCACGACATTTTCTACTCATCGATTAGGCCCAATCATCACAGAAAGGGGAGGCCTAACGGACTTCCCAGTACTCCTCTTGACTAGCTTCAGGGTACACCATGCCAAATTTGAGGCTTTCCATCAATCGCGCAACTATTCTTAAGACTTGCTGTGTCAATTTCAAGCCTTTCTTCCGTCCTTCGCAAACCCATTAAAGGGAACTCAAAGCCATATCCCAAGCACTTCAAGGGTCCGCAATGGCAGGTTTTAGTATTTCCATGATTCGAGTAACCACTTTCAGGGTCGCAATGACATATCTTGGACTTCCTGTCCTAGCGCCCAGTAACCAGCCAGCCCTTCAGATCACAGACTGATTTTCTACTCGCCCTTAAGATATCCACCATATCCTTTTCCAGCCTGTTGAAACAGGGTTATGAACAACCGAGCCAGGCTAGCAATTGAGACTCGAGTCAAGACTTCACCTGACCCGCCTACTAAGCAAGACCCACGAGCCATGTGAAGTCAAGGTCGGCTCGACATGGCTCGACTCTACTTGAAACACAACAAGCTCGAGGTGGGCCATACTTGACTCATCTCGTGCTAATGTCTACTCGAATGTGACAGGTAGACAACACAACATCGGCAGAGCGGGAAAGCTGCAGGGGTGGAGGGTTGTCGAAACAACAGACTGGAATGATGAACTAGAAAGGATTGTGAGTACAAATATGAAACCCTAATGTTGTGACCCCCCTACAGGCTAACCCACTACAGCCTACACAAATATAACATATACAATGTTTGACACACCCCCATAGGCAAAGTGGGGGAGACCTAGGGGTCACAAGACCAGTCAAGGCAAAGCAAGGCAACAACAAGCTCAGGGTGGATCTCGAGGATTCCACACAAATTCTGAGCACAAGCTAGTGGTCACAAGACCAGTTCACATGCAGGTTTATAACAAAGCAAGAGATACAGTGATCACAACCTAGCAAGAGTAAACATGCAGGTAGATATATATATAGTGATCACAGTACAAGCAAGGTCAAGAGGTAAGTAAGTGAGGTCCAGTAGGCACAAGGCCTAGCAGAGTACAGAAGCGCTGATGGTCACAAGGCGGAAGCGCCTTGGTGAACACATCAGCAAGGTTGGCCTCAGTGGCCACGTAACGCAGACAAAGCTGACCGCGCTGCTGCAGCTCTCGAGCAAGGAAGTACCGCAGGGCGATGTGCTTCGTTCTGTGCTCCAGTCTGTGCTCCTCACACAAGGCAATGGCAGCCTGGTTGTCGACGTAAAGCACTGGAGGAGAACGAGGCCGCTCACCCAAGTCGGTCAGCAGGTAGGTCAGCCAGCGTAGCTCCTGGGCAGCCATGGCTGTGGCGTAGATCTCAGCCTCACAACTGGAGCTGAGAACAGAAGAAGAGCGTGTAGAACGCCAAGAAACTGAGCCAGAGCCAAGGCTGAAGGTGTAACCCTGAGACGACCGCTGAGTAGCCTGGTCGTCCGCCCAAGACGCGTCTGAGTGTCCAGTAAGTACAACTCGGTCTCGCCCTCCAAGCACTAGCCCCATGCCCGACGTACTGCACAAGTAGCGCAACACCCTCTTAGCGGCATCCATGTGCTCCTTCCTGTGACGGCCAGGAGCGACATAGCGTGCAAGGATGCTAAGAGGGTATGCAAGGTCAGGTCGAGTGCAGGTCATCAGGTACATGAGGCAGCCCACAAGCTCTGGATACGGGCCACTCGGCTCTACGGACTCATCCGAAGGCAGAGCTGAGAGCGAGTGACCGGTAGGCAGAGGAGTGGACTGAGGCGAGGAGTACGTGAAGCGGAAGCGCTGGAGGATCTGCTGCACCATGTGTGACTGAGTCAAGGTGATGGTGCGCCGTGCTCTGTCCCAGGTGATCCGCAAGCCAAGATAGCTTGTCAGTTCACCCAGGTCTGTGCACGTGTGTCTCCTCTGCAGCTCCGACTTCACGTGGGCGAGTGCCGCGGTGTCAGCAATGGCAAAGACCAAGTCGTCGACGTACACGAGGATGTAGAACGGCGGCAGTGAGGTGTCTGTGCGTAGAAACAGTGACGGGTCAGCAGTAGAGGGAGCGAACCCAAGAGCCGCAAGTGTCGTCCTCAGTGTGTCGTGCCACTCACGCGGTGCCTGGCGGAGACCGTAGACCGGCCGCTGAAGCCTCCACTGGGTACCAGGAGGAACCGACCCAGTGAAGCCAGGAGGGCGGCGCAGCCAGATCTCCTCGTGCAGGCTGCCCTGCAAGAAAGCAGTGTTGAAGTCAAGTGAGTGAAGCTCGTAGTCGCGCTGAGCGGCTATGTGCAGCATCACCCGAAGAGTGGTCATCTTCGGGGTGGGGGAGAAGGTCTGAAAGAAGTCAACTCCCTCTCGCTGACTGAAGCCTCGAGCCACGTAGCGCGCCTTGAAGACAGGAGGAGAACCCGGTGGCCGCTTCACCCTGAAAATCCACATGCCACTGACGATGTTCGCCCCAGGTGGGGGAACCTCGTCGACGTAGGTGCGTGTGGACTTCCAGGAAGCCATCTCTGCGTCCATGGCTGTCTGCCACTGAGAGGAGTAGGGACCCGCCATCGCCTCAGCGTAAGTGCGCGGGGTCGGGATGTCTGGTGCATCCGGGTCTCCCTCAGGGGCAACTAGCATGGACACGAGGTGGGGCAAAGCAGCAGCAAAGCACTGGAACTCCTCCTGTCTGTCCTCAAGGACGTCCGTGCCAAGAGCACACTCACCCCCGACGGACGGAGGACAGACAGACTCAGACTCAGCAACAAGGCTAGTGGCGTAGTCTAGACGACAGTGGGCAGCAAAGTCTATCAACTCAGCGACTAGAGCAGACGCAGCAGAGGACTCAAAGGTAGGGTCAGTGACAACAGTAGCGAGGAGACGGGTGACAGTGGGACTGGCAGCACGACGGGAGTCAGACTCCGGGTCAGGAAGAGTAGGCAGAGAGGAAGCAGGAGGAGACGGTAGCGGGACACGCTGAGGAGCAGTGGAGGGACGCAGAGTCATGTAGTGAGTGCCAGGGACAGGAGGAGGACGCTCACGTGGGACACGACGACCAGTGCGAGCAGTACGAACAGGCGACGCAGGACGAGACTCAGGCTCACGACGCTCTGTAAGACCTCCTGTGGGACCAGCGTAAGGAGAGGGAGCAGGGAGAGGCGAGGCAGGCGGGAACTGTGACTGCGGCTGGACAGGCGGAGGACACTCTAAGGAGGGAGGAGGACAAGGAGGAGGAGTCTGCCCAAGAACCTGCTGAAGGAGTGGTACGAAGTACGGTCGCGGCCGCTCAGCGTCTCCAGAACCAGCAGAGACACCAGTGGCAGGGTCCTCAGTACCAGCAGCAGCTCCAACGTGCGGGTCCTCAGCACCAGCAGCAGCTCCACCGGCCGGGACCTCAGCACCAGCAGCAGCTCCACCGCCCGGGTCCTCAGCACCAGCAGCAGCTCCACCACTCGAGTCCTCAGCACCAGCAGCAGCGCCACCGCTCGGGTCCTCAGCACCAGTAGCAGCTCCAACGCCCGGGTCCCCAGCACCAGCAGCAGCTCCAACGCCCGGGTCCTCAGTACCAGCAGCAGTGCTACCCCCAGGGTCCGCAGCACCCGGAGCACCACTCCGAAGACTGCAGCGTCGCGTGTACCACTCTCGGATCTGCTGAATGGGGGGGAGCTCCTGGGTAGGAGGGGAAGTACCGGGACGAGCTCCAGCAGCACCTCTCCGGAGGCGGCAGTACTCGAGGTACCTCTCCTACAGCTGCTGGGAGGAGAGGGCTCCTCCAGGTGTAGCACGCTCAGTCTCAGTACCCCCAGACTCAGCACCCCCAGACTCCGCACCCCCAGGCTCAGCACCTCCAGGCTCCACACCTCCAGGGTCCGCACCTCCAGGCTCAACACCCCCAGGCTCCGCACCTCCAGGCTCAACACCCCCAGGCTCAGCACCCCCAGACTCAGCACCCCCAGGCTCAGCACCCCTAGACGCAGGACGAGAGTCAACAGCTACCTCGACAGGCTCACCCGGGTCTACCTGGGACACACCTGAGGGAGCGGCACCCTGAGGGGGGAGGGGGTCTGGTACCTCTGCACCTGGAGCGAGGAAGAGAGGCGGGGGGGGGAGCGGGGCAGTGCGGTAGGGGAAGAGGCGGTAGTAGGGGACGGACTCGTCAAAAGTGACGTCCTGAGAGGCCAGGACACGCCGCGAGGTGGGGTGGTAGAACTGCCAACCAGGGGCGTCCGGGACAAAGCCAAGGAAGACGCAGGGGACAGCGCGACGGGAGAGCTTGTCCGCGGACGTGTCGCGGACAAAAGCTCGGGATCCCCAGACCCGAAAACGCGACGCATCGCCGGCCTCTCCCGTCCAACGCAGTGTCGGAGAAGTCTCGGGCAAGGAGACACGGGGCCAGAGGTTGAGCTGATGCGCAGCGTATCGGACTGCAAACGGCCACAGAAAGTGGGGGGCAGCCGCATGAACCAAGGAGGTACGAGCGACCTCCATGACCAAGCCAATGCGGCGCTCAGCAACCCCATTCTGCTGTGGAGAGGCCGGAAGCGTGAACGACTGCTCAATGCCCTCCTGCTGACAGAAGGCCTCCAAGAGGCCAGAGGAAAACTCTCCACCTCTGTCAGAGTGCAGACGCAGGACAGGGAAGTCGGAGCGGAAACGCTCACTGAGCTGGAGACGAGATCTGCGGATCCAAGGGATCAAGACATCAGGGACGTCACCCTTGGTGCGCAAGGGGAAGACCGTGGTGTAGCGCGAGAAGTCGTCAACAACAATCAGGAAGTACCTCTCCTGACCCTGACCACGGACGCGGGCTGGGCCCCACACATCCATGTGGAGCGTCTGCAAAGGAGCAGTCGTCGGGGGAAAGGAGGAGGAGTGAGGAGCGGCGCGCTGCCGCCCCTCGACACAGGGAAGACAGGGAGGAGCAGGCGAGTCGGGAAGGGGAGGGAGCACCCTGGGAAGACCAGCAACAAGGTCCCGTTTGTGCATGGCCCGAAGGCGCTGCACAGACGGGTGACCAAGGCGGTGGTGCCAAAGGACAGTCTCATGCGCCAGAGAGCGACACGAGCAGGGGGCGGACAGCTGACCTGACGCAGACGCAGACGTAGACGCGGACGCAGCTACCTGAGGGGACTCAGTGGTCAGTGTGTACAGGTCCGACCCCGGCTCTCGAGTGAAAGTAGCCAGGTGGCGACCCGTCCGAGCACACGTGCAGTGTGTCACGCGTTCGTAGGCAGGGGTGAACTGGTGAACACCCGAGTCCTGGAGCGCACAACCCGCCACCAAGTTCGTAGAGAACGAGGGGAGGTAGAGACCTGACAGCGTGCCGGACGGGACCGCAGGACAAGGAAGGACAGTGGAGGAGGTCGCAATGACCGGACCCCCAGAGGGGTCAGCAAGGGAGACAGCAACTGGCCGAGCGAGTGGCTCAAGGACAGTACGGTCACGAAAGAAAGAGCGAGAAGCACCTGAGTCCAGGGTGAAGGTGTGCAGTGCTGCAGTCGACTCAGTACCAGGGGGCACAGACGCACTAGCACCTAGGGCAGCAGCCTCACCAGGACCTGTGGGAGCGGACGCACTAGCACCTAGAGCGGCGGCCGGACTGGCCTGAATGCCCGGGTCGGGCGGAACACGCAAGTACTGAGCACCCTCTCCACTAATAGACATCGCATACATGGCAGTGAGAATAGCATCAAAGTCTAGAGCCCAAATATCAACACCCCTCTTTTCCAGGTCAGCCCAGCGCGGCAGCTCAGTGGCAGCAGGAAACTGGGTGCGCCACGCGTCGTTAAGGCGCGCGAAGCAGCGCTGCGTGGGGTGCGGCCTCCCACACTGCTGGCCGCTGCGGTCACCTGTGCGAATGACGTACGTGCAGGTAAAGCCACGCTGCGCATACCACTCACGGGCGGCCTGAAGCGTCGGGGCGGGCTGCTGACTCTGCCCTCCGCCAGTGCCTCCACGACCACCACCCCCACCGCCTCCGCCCCGGCCACCTCCACCCCTGCCGCCACCACGACCACCTCCGCCCCCGCTGCCGCCTCCGCCCCTGCCACCACTCCCGCCGCTGCTGTCTCCTCCCCCACTGCCGCCACTGGCCTCCTCAGCCGCGCCTCCACTCCCACCGCCTCCACCCCCACCTCCTCCGCCGCCACCCCCACCCCTGCCTCCCTTGTTCCTGCGGCGCCCGCTCGAAGCAGACGCGGTCCCGACCTTCTCAGCACCAAGGAGGTCGACAGCAGCAGCAGAGGCGACAGAGGGGAGGAGGGGGGAAGGGGAACACCCCTCAAAGAACGGGGTGCGGGGGTCGCCACGAGAGGTGCCTACAGCGACGATACTCGCCTCAACTGCAAGCAGTTCCTTCTCGAGGAGGGCAACAGTGAGCTCAGTGGGGGAGCGAGAGAGGAAATGGTCCCTGACTGCGCGTAGAGAGTCAGGGAGGCGAGTGACGATGTGGTAGAGAGTGATCCAGAGCGGGGGGGGGTTGCTAGTGAGAAACTCGGCAGGCATAGCAGCGCGAAAGCGGGCCTCACTAGTCTTAAGGTGGGTGATGAGGTCTGCGACAGTGTGAAAGGAGGCTAGGTCGGGGAACAGGTAGGGGAGAGTGAGGCGGCCTAGCGTGGCAGAAGCGGGTGAGGAGTAGCGGGCAACTACAGCTGTGTAGAGGTCCTTAGCAGTCTTGCACTGGCCGAAGTGCTCGCGCTCGTCTAGCGGCAGGGAGTTGCGAATAGCAAAGCGAGCGTGCGCATCACGGGTCTGCCACTGGGAACGCAGAGTGCTGTCAGCAGACGAGTCAGGGGCAGTGACATGGCCTAGGGCGTGGTCGTACAGTGAGGTATCTTCCTTGGCAGTGAGCTGTAGGAACAGGTGCAGGTCATCTAGCCAGGTTTCGAACTTCACTGGACGGCCCTCGGCATCGAAAGCTAGAACGGGAGGACTAGCCATAGTGACAGGATCAGTAGCAGTAGTAACAGTAGTAGTAGGAATCAGGCCGCTGGAAAGGTGTGCGGAGGGTCAACGGGGCCGGCGGGGCCGCTAGGTAAGGCGCGGGCGGGGTCGACTGTCCGTAGTGGCACACGAGCGGCAGTAGTAGGTAGCGTGGCAGCAGGAGCTGCAACGGCGCACTGGTGGCAGCTGCAGTGGCAGCAGTGTGCGCGGTAGGTAGAAAATAAAAACTGTGAGAGCGAGTGCCTCGCGGGCGGCGGCTGCAGAAGCGCACAGGCGGCAGCGGCGCACGGGCAGCGGCGGCGCACTGGCAGCGGGAGCGTAGGGGCAGCGGCGGCGCACGAGCAGCGGCGGCGCTCGGGAGGCAGCGGTGCGCAAGCAGCAGCGGAAGCAGCGGCGTACGAGCGGCTGCGGGCAGCAGGGCGTGCGCGAGCAGGCGACGGGCGGCTGCGGGGCGTGCGCGAGCAGGCGACGGGCGGCTGCGGGGCGTGCGTGAGTAGGCGACGGGGCCGCGGGGCCGCGAAGTGGGGCGCGAGCGGTGCGCGGGCAGTGCGCGGGCGGTGCGCAGGCGGTGCGCAGGTTGCACGGGCTTAGCGCGGGCTGCGTAAGCGGTGCACGGGGCGGCAGCGGGCCTGAAGGGGCGATCGCGGGGCCGACTAGGTCGCTAAGGGGCGAGCGGCGGGTCGATCGCGGGGCCGACGGGGCCGTACGAGGCGGTGCGCGGGGCCGTAAGGGGCGGTGCGCGGGGCCGTAAGGGGCGGTGCGCGGGGCCGTAAGGGGCGAGCGCGGGGCCATAGCGAGGCCTTAAGGGGCGGCGCGGCGGGGCCGTAAGGGGCAAACGCGGGGCCGACGGGGCTTAAGGGGCGGCGCGACGGGGCCTTAAGGGGCGGGTCGCGGGTCGCTAGTGCTTAGGGGCCGAAAAAAAAAAGTCGAGGCGCCCTAGGTAGGTAGGTAGGTAGGGAGTTAGGTAGCGGTGGGCCCTTAAAAAAAACGGTCCTAGCGAAGGACCTGCTCTGAAACCATGTCGGAACAACAGACTGGAATGATGAACTAGAAAGGATTGTGAGTACAAATATGAAACCCTAATGTTGTGACCCCCCTACAGGCTAACCCACTACAGCCTACACAAATATAACATATACAATGTTTGACAAGGGCAGAGAGTACAGCATACCACGAAGCACTTGCTTGCACTCTTCAGCTTCACAGCCAAGCCCTGCTGATGCACCCATGCTCTGCCTGGCACCATGCCCATCCAGCACAGTAGTCCCACAAGAATGGTGATGGCAGAATACAGCACGAAATCCGGAGGCTGCTGATGTGGGAGGACAGAGGCATGAGCAGAGAGTCAGTGACGCATGAGTGAGAAAATAAGCCAATATAAGTTTTAAAATCCAGAGAATACTAAATCTGGGCAGAACAGTTGGCCGAACAGGTAATAGCACTAGCAAAGGTCACGCATCAGAGTGTAGAGAGAGTGAGAAGTCGTGTTGAGAGTGTGAACACGCGTGCACATGAGTGTTAGGCCCATGGCAGTGGTAGCCAGTTTCCTAAATCGCGAACAGCACATGCACACGCACACACATGCTCATGCACACATATGCACACCAAAACGCATCAAAGTGAGAACTTCAATGCAGATACATCATGTGCCAATACAAACAGCGGCAGCCATCAGAAGAAATAGTTACTCAGTAGAAAGAGACAGTTTCAAAGTAAATTTTGTGCTTACATGGGCGACAGAGGTGGACGGGAGCAGGAGAGAGTGGCTGAATCGCTGACTATCGGTGCCATGTGGCAGCTGCACAAGGCAACACGGAGGCATGGCGACCTCGAGAGTATAAGAAACACAAACGCGTGCCACTATGTTAAGGTGCGCATGGACAGCTCAGCAACATGCCAAAGAACAAAGACCATGCACCAAACACCAATGCTGTTGACATGCCTGTGATGACTCATGACCTCTACCATTGGGGAAGATAACCACCCCTTGCCATGCCAGCCAACTGACGTCCTCAGCAGCAGTGATGGCATGCCAGGCATCCCTGTGAAGTGGCGTGATGGTGATGAGTGTGATGGCAGCGCCGAGAAAGACAGCCACGAGCAGCCCTGGCGTGACCACTGCCGTGATCCCAGGCATGGCTGATGGGCCGATCCCAATGCAATGCGTGCGCCTGCGCAGTGAGGTGTGGGAGGAGCAGGGGAAGGAGGGGGGCAGCGGGAGCAGGGGAAGGTGGTGAGGTGGCGGGGGAAGGAGAGGAAAAATCGGTAGCAGCAAGGGAAGAGGATGAGCGTCAGCAGCAAAGAAGGAGGGGAGAGGCGACACAAGCAGGATGAAGGGCGTAAGGAGGGAATAAGCGGCAGAAGAACATAGACAGTTCTGCATAAATGTGATGCAATTAGACTTTGGATAAGGGCAGACATAGGATATGCGCACAAATTCAAGCGCATGGAGGTGAGATGATTACATGAAGGAGCGAGACGATCGTCAAACCCAGGTGCAGCTGAAGAACGAAGGCGAGGTGGGGGAAAAGAGTGGAGAGGCATAGCGTTACGTAGGTTGTAAACAAGGTACAACTGGTCTAGGGCAAGGGTAAGCGGATGAGCAGGACACATAGCCAGGTGACTTGGAAAGAGTGAGGCAAGGAGCGGATCCAGGGGAAACGGATGCAGGAGACTAGGGGAAACGGATCTAGGGGAAACGGATCCAGGAAAATTGGATTCATGGGATAGGGATCCAGGGGGATCCAGAGGAAACGGATTGGATCCGTGGGATAGGGATCCAGGGGGATCCGGCAGAAACGGATCCAGGAGACTCGAATCCAGAAAAAAGGATCCAGGGGAATCGTGCAGTGCATGAGCACTTACAGCAGACTGGTGTGTGGCGGTGGCGCGCCAGATGGCAGCAACGAGCTGCCCGTTTGAAACAAGGGGCTTCTTAGCATACACCGTGGTAGCAGCGCTCCAGAGCAGGGGAAGGAAACGGAGAGAGGGTGAGTAGTAGTGACACCACCAGAAGAGGGGATGTATCAAACTTCGGAGGCAGAGAAAACAGTTTAGGTCAGATCGACCAAAGTGGATAAACAAAGTTGGGGTCTTGACTCAAAGGCACGTGAGTTGGCAAAGGAGAGCGAACAAGAGCCTGGAGACATCACATCAGATCATGCATACAACACACTGCGTCAGTCGCAAAACCCACGAATCGTCAGATTGGCTGGATTCCCGAATCTCGGATGCTACAGATTGTTGTCGAATGTGCTTATTGTTTGAAGCTAGTCACTGACTTGAAGTTGGTACAGTTGTTGCTATCCCGGTCGAGACTCTCTGATCGCCGAGGGCTACGAGAGCGATGGGATGTTGTCATCACCAAAGCGCTCTCATGTGACGCTATTCGACGCTGTCCCACTGCCCGAATCAACGGCGGATTCGTCACTGACCCATCGTTTCTGGAAGAGCATGGACCCATCCAATCAAGTTCAGCTTGATTGGGTATAAGTTTGCTGGAAGATTCTCTCTAATCGCACAACCTGTAAATTTCAGGACCTCGGAAGTGCCGTATAAGCTCGTTCCGTGTTGCCATGGCATGGGAGACCATGTCAAGTCAAAATCGCGACAAAGAAAAGCGCGATCGGACCGTCCGTTTTGAGATAAGTATAATAGCGCGACCTTGAATGTTGCTGTGGGGCCAACTTAGATGTTCCCATACCTGAAGCGGGAACGCCGCTGAACGAGAGTGTTTGCTGTGAAATCCCATGCGTCGCTTTTTGAATTTACTGTTCAAGACAAACTTCGATAACGAACGTTGTAATTTATTCCAGACTTGTCAGAAGTAGTAGGCAAAGTTTAGAAACAGAAAGAGGGTTTGGACTAGCAGCAGTTGAGATACAAATAGCAAACCCTAGATTGGGCTGTACTCGCTATAGAGTACCCCACTGCAGGCTAGACAAATACAACATTCTGACACACCCCCATAGCCAAAGTGGGGTGTAATCAGCACAACAAGCAGTCATAATAGTAGTTCACATTTTATGAGCAAAGCTAGAGGCAGTCACAGAGGGCAAGTGAGGAGGAGGAGGGCTGGCGAGAGGAGAGAAGAGTGGAGGCGACGACTGAAGCTGCAGACACACGGGCAACAGACGGCTCTGGTGCAGCTCTAGTGGCTACCGGGAGCAAGGGCCCCGGAATACAGGAGTAACAGGCTCTGCGTCTGATCAGCAGCGACAGGAGCAACGGACCCACGGGCGACAGGTGCAACCGGCTCTCTGAGCTACCGGTGGCTATCAGAACCCCGGAATACAGGCGCTGCAGACGACACGACGGCGGCCTCCGCTCAACCTCCCCCAACAGTCCCACACCCCTCGACACACACCCCCTGCTTCGCCCCTAGCTCCACTCCCCTTTCACCCCCCTAGTACCACTCCGTCGGCTCCCCACACACCCACCCCCCTGAGCGGCAGCTGCAGCAGCGGGAGACGGAGGAGGAGGAGAAGGAGGGGACGGGGCACACAACCGGCACCCCCACACCCGCCACCCCCAAACCCTAACACAGGAACGCGGGCAGTAGCGGGGGTGGGGCGCCGACAGAAGCTTGGGGGACGGACGAGGCGCGCGCACGGGTCTGCCGCAGGCGGGACGAGGCGCGCGCGGGCTGCCCGGGCCGCGCGCGGGCCTGGCGCAGCCCGTACGGGCCGCGCGCGGGTCCCAGGGGCGCTTCGACGGGCGACGGGGACGTTTCGACGGGCGACGGGGGGCGCTCCGACGGGCGACGGGGGCGCTTCGACGGGCGACGGGGGCGCTTCGACGGGCGACGGGGGGCACTTCGACGGTGGGAAACCGCCGCGCGCCTCGGGGCGCACGGTAGGCAGAAAACCGCCGCACGCCCCGAGCGTACGGCGGGATGAAAACCTTAAAAAAATTTCGGTCACGGCAGGAAGGAGGCGTCGCGCGACCGAGGCGCGCGACAAGTAGAACAGCAGCGGAAGCATTAGGTGGTGGGCCCACCCACAGGATCGACCCAAGGGGGAAGACCTGCTCTGATAGCATGTCAGAAGTAGTAGGCAAAGTTTAGAAACAGAAAGAGGGTTTGGACTAGCAGCAGTTGAGATACAAATAGCAAACCCTAGATTGGGCTGTACTCGCTATAGAGTACCCCACTGCAGGCTAGACAAATACAACATTCTGACAAGACTATGTACTAATTCGTTCAATTCTAAACGACAACTAAATTATTCTGGCATTGTTGAAGCATGGAGCCGGGCATCTTCCGGCTGTACTATGGTATTAGTGAAACTCTTTGAGCTTCTGTAGTCCAAATAAGGATGTTCAGTTTAGTACCTGTACTAAAATTTAGAACAAATGTTTCAAATACGGTAAGCGAGAGACAAGCACAGCATCTCCTTCAGTTCAATACTCTCAGTTCATTTCCTGCATGCTTGCATGCGGTGCGGAATAAAGGGTACACAGAAGCGAGTACTGTATCACACAATTGTGATTGCAAGCAACCGCTCATTGAATGAAGGTTGCTTCATTCCTTGCAAGTTGCAATGTGGGCTGTATCTCCGCCACCTTCCAGAAATCACAAAACACCACCTACCATACCCGTAAAACAGTATGAACATGCTGTACTGCACTGTCTCCTGCTCATCTTTCCACGACGTGTCGAGGCAAGGAGGACAGTAAGTGAAGTAGATTGAGTAGCGGTTTGCTGCAGACAGGGCCCTCGCTAGGATTTGAACCCCCCCTGATGCATCAGACGGGCCCGATGCATAAAAATTTTGGATTTTGATTGTCTGATGTATCAGATATTTAAAAAAAAACTCGTCTGACCAATCAAACTAGAGTTGCAATATTGTGTAGGTGCACGTGGGATAAATCTCCGGCTCGAACTTCGCTTGACCTCTCACACCTGTACACAACACTCACCCTGTCACACCACATTCACCCACATTCGCCTTGGCACACCACATTCGCCCAATCACAGCAGGGATTCGCCTTGTCGCAGCAGGGATTCGAACTGTCGCGGCAGGGAATCGCCCAGTCACAGGCGGAAATTGCCCTGTCATGGCAAGGATTCGCCCTGTCATGGCAGGGATTCGCCTTGTCACGGCAGGGATTCGCCTTGTCACGGCAGGGATTCGCCCTGTCACAGCCGGAAATCGCGATAGTCTATGTTTCGGTTTCAAACGAAACAGAAAATACATTTCTGATGGATCAGATGAAATGAAAAACCATGCCTGATCAATCAGATGAAACTAAAAGCCAATTTCTGCAAAATCAGATTAACATAAAGAAACTTGTCTGAAATCTCAGAAAAACAGACAAAAATATCTGATAGCGAGGGCCCTGGCTGCAGACCACTGCAGGGGCACCAATGAGTGCAAGTAGAGTCTATGTTGGACAAGACGCTCAAACGTTGGAGTCGGGGGTCCGGACGCTGGACACTCTGGATTTTGTTTTAGGGCAGCAAAAAAAAAATCTTAATGCATTGGAAATGCGTGCTTTGACACGACTACCAGCGTTTGGATGGACGGAAACGTGCACTTGGGGGGCTTGCAGTCACCCAAAACGCACCCAGGAGAAACTATTCTCCCCCCTCCCCCCATTCCCCCACTCTACCATACATCACCTTACCGCCTTTACAAGACCCAACCAGCACGATCTGATTCGGATGTAGAAACTACAATCATGTAATGGCCCTGTTCGATTGCACTTCATTCTTTTGTACAGCCCAACCACAGTCTACCCGAGTCGGCCTAGGGTTTCCGAACCTGGGGTCACTACCTTCCAGGTGCAGGTTGAGTTGGGTTGCAGTTCTGACAGCTGTAAAAACAGTCCAAGACGCAACTGTCACAACCGCGTAGTCAAGTGATAAGACAAACCTACACAGTGCACAATTCAACTGATTCTTGAAAATTATACGAGGAAATGCACACAAAATTCCAAAATAGCACGTGTTTATTTTAGGAGAACTCACTGTTGGGTTTTGAATAGTTGAAGATTTCAAATCCCAGTATACCCTCGACCACAATCGCGACCCAAAAAAGAAATAATCAAAAGCTATGCGGGAAACTTGTACACCCTACGATTCAAGGTAAACTTTTACTAGACATTTTCTGCCCAAAATTCTTACACCTTCAAAGTCGCACCGGGGATGCTGTCGTTGGTGCTTCCAGTGGAAACCAAGTATTTTTCGCCCGTGAAGCACTGTTGCTTGACTGGTTGGCAACAGGGCTTTGACCGCTGTCCGCAGCGAAAATTTCCACACCAGATTTGTAGGTGTAGCGAACCTATTCGAGGTTCTGGTATGGTTCTGCCTAACCTCTTATAGGTTCAAAGCCCCTGTTTGAAGCTTCCGAGCCTTTACCGAGCCACCCCTGGACTTCAAAG